AAAAAAAAAAAAAAAGATACTGTAGAGATGATCAACAAATGTTATAAATGGTAATTTGAAAATGTTATAAATGTTAAAATGGTAATTTATAAATGGTAAAATTGATAAACTTACTGTGAGTTTGATAGGGAAAGAAGAGAAAAAGCATAAATGGTTGTAAGAATGAGAAAAGGAATACTGATATTAATTTATAATTAATTGCTCTAATAGTTATAATTAATATAGATATTAAAAGATCATAGGAAGGTTCTAGATGTCAATTTTGTGCTAACATTTGAAATTATACATTAATCTCACTCTTCAACACAGATGTAGAAGTCTTAAGCCAAAATATTGGAAAACAATTCAGTAAGATAGAAAAAGGATAATTCATCATGGTGATGTTAAATTTACACCTGGTATTCAAATTTGTTTAGCATTTAAAATCAGTCAACTCCTACATAATATATTAAAGAAAATAGAAGACTTAGGTTCACACAAGTGTTCATAGAAGCATAACTCGTAATAGCTAAAAAGTGGAAACAAACCAGATATCTTTCAGAGGACGAATGGATAAGTAAAATGTGGTATATCATTCATACGATGGAATATTCATTCTGCCATAAAAAGGAACGAAGTACTTGATACATGGATGAACATTTAAAACATTATACAAAACGAAAAGAACCATCATAAAAGACTATATATTTTATGTTGTATGATTTCATTTATCTGAAATGTCCAGATTAGGCAAGTAGTTAGAGACAGAAAGAAGATTGGTAGTTGCCAAGGGCCAGGAATGTTTGGGGAAAATAGATACAAATGGGTTCAAGATTACTTTCTGGAGTGATGAAAATATTCTGGGATAGATAGTCCTGATTGTTGCACAGCTTGTGACTATATTATTATAAAAATTACTTATCTGTGCATTTTATTTTTATTTATTATTATTATTATTAGTAGTAGTAGTAGTTACAAAACAATGCAATAGTTATCCTTTTCACCCCTCACGTATAGTTAAAATGTCCATACTGCCTAAAGCAATATATAGATTCAATGCAATTCCTATCAAACTACCAAGGGCATTTTTCACAGAAATAGAAAATATCTGTGCACTTTCAAAGGGCGCATTTTATGCTGTGTGAGTTATATCTCAGCAACTCAAAAACAATGAGCATTATTCACCCTTTTAACAGAATAAAGGAGAAAATTAATATTATTTCAATAAGGAAGGCATTTGACAAAACCCAACACCCATTTTTGATTTTTTTATAAAGCCAGGCAAATCTGGAATACAAGGAAACTTCCTTAACCAAATAAGGGAAATCTATGAAACTTACTGTAAACATTACAGTTAATGGTAATTTGTGAATGTTTTCCCCCTTCTTCCTTCTCTGGTCTCCTATTTCTCCTCCTTCCCCTCATTCTTATTTAGAGTAGCAGATTCCTTGCTGAAAAACATTTAGATAAGCAAATTGTGTTTGCAGAGTACAGAAAAGGATGTCTGTTTAACTGGAGTGGGTGCTGGCTATTTTTCTAGAGGCCTCACAGAATAGTGTTGTCTTGTTGATAACACAGAGTTCTGAGTTCAGCCCTCAGTGTTCCAGCCTCAGAAATCCGACTCCTCACATTATAGTAAGTTCATTCCTTAGAGGCTGACTGGCACTAACCAAAATAGAAAGACTGAAGGAAAGTCAGAATGTTTATTTATAAATTTACTTTAAAAATATACCTGTTAAATAGTTTGGAATGCTTTCTTTGACATATGGGAAGGGAGCTCAGTGAACCTGGGAATGAGAACAAGAGTAGTTGATATAAATTGAACATTCAAGGACCATCTTTCTAATAAGATTCATACTTTAGTCACAGTGGCTTGTCAGAGTATGGATTGCAGTAATTTCCCTCAGATGCATAGTATATACTGAGCTTTGATGCTTTCATTTCTCTGTTTAATTTGCTGACCAGTTTTTTCTGATGAATACCTTAATTGTGATATGTTAAAACCTTCCATTTTACATTGATCCACAGAACTGGCATCAAATGCTCAAAATGTAGCTCAGAATCTGCCAAACAAAAATTCTTATGGACACAAAGGTATGAATGTTTAAATATTTAAAATATTTCCTTAGTTGAGAATTTTATAAAATGCTTACAGTATCTGCTATCTTCCATTTTCATCAAGGCTAGCTAATCCATCAGATGTTTATCATTTATATTTTTACAAGTACTAGATAAAATAATTATCAGCTTTTGATTATGGAAGTGTTTTTCAGATTGGTCTTCAAGGCACCACATATTTTTGCATCATTTTCCTTTTTTCTACATGGCCACCTTATATGTGCTTTTGATACACTATTATCAAGTTAAGTGGAACATTAAGCATACATCTCAAATTTATTGTTTTAAACTGAAAATCAATTAATGTCATTGAAGTTTTCATATATGTTTGAGGTATAGGCCTATAATGGGGACCAATCTCTTAACTGTAAAATTCTAATGTTCCAAACTAGGATTGGGACCTGACCCTGTATTCTTCTATATCTAAAGTCTGGTATTTGTTATAGTCTATTACGAGAGTCGGGTACTGCAACAACTTGGTCCTGGCTTCTGACATGTGGCTTTCTCCTCTTTTGCCTGCCATACCACTTTACCATGTTGCACTTCTTACAACTACATATGTGTCTGTGTGTGTGTAGGCTTCTGCCCGCCCAATTCTGCATGTCTAAGTTTGTGTTTTAATTATTTTCATAATACTTTTCTCTAAGTGGTAGGCCAGTCTCTTTACATATAATGTATAAGGAAGTATGTTTTAACTTAATACCATTGAATTGTACACTTAAAAATGATTATATAGTAAATTTTATGTTACAAGTATTTTACCATAACTTAAAATTTTTTGGAAAAGAAAGTGTGTTTTAAACTTTAGTATGTTTCTAATTTTTTATGTGTAGGTTTTTGTAATGCCTCATCATTGTTTCTTTCCCCTGGAATATCCCTTCGTTATGTATCTGTTTATTCATCTATTTTTCCGCCTTCAGTTTTTTGTTTTTTTTTAAAGATTTTTATTGGGGAATTGGGGGAAGGGGAAGTTGATGTCGTTTTGTTCTTCAGTCTAGTTGTGGAGGATGTTGCTTCACTGGCCCAAGTTGGCATCATCATTGCGCTCTGCTCTGGCGAGGCAGATCAGTCGCTGGCTTCTGGACGGCCGCTCACTGCGGCTACTGGCTGCTCACGCTGGCTGCTGGCTACATACGGTAGCCCATGGCAACCCACTGCCACAGGGACTGCAGCCTACGCTGTCGCTGGCGACTCATGGCAGCCCAGCTTCATTCAGGTTGAGCTGTTGTTCAGCATCTTAGCTGTGGAGGGCAGTGTCACTGGCCCTCACATGTGGGATCCGAACCGAGGCCCTCTGGCATCCCAAGCAAGTTCTTAACCATCGCGCCACTCGGCTGGCCCCGCCTTCAGGTTTTTTTGCTGTGCTTTATCTAACCCCATAGCTTTCTCCTACTATTCTAGCTTTCATTAATTTCTTTGCCTCCAAATTCCAGTGTATTTATCAGCTTCATGTAATTTACCATTCATGTGATTTATCCCTCACAAAATTTTTAATTGGCTTTCCAATGAGATATGACTTTAGTACCTAGCATTATGCTTAACATGTAGATTTTTAACCCAGTATTGGCTGGTTGATGATTGATGAGGGGGTTGTAAGGAAAATTCCACTATAAATGGTTTTCCTTTTATCACTTTAGATGCCTTGAAAGTGAAAGTTTTAGGAATGATTTTTGAGGCCTTGAAATTGTTCTGTGTCTTGATTAGAATATTCCTAAAACTGCTTAGTTCGAACCTGCTTTTTGTAGAATTTGTTAATCTTTAAATTAGAAAACTGTCTCCTATGATGAATTTGACAACATGAGCATAGGGCACGTTGGATGGAGGTGGCACCAAGAACACTAAACTGAGTTTAGTTGTGAACTTTTAAAACTTATACATGTAGTTAGAGAAAAGTCTGGAAGGAAATACATCAAAAGACTAGAGATTATGTATTAGTACTTAAAAGAACATCATATTGTAGAAAGAAGATAGAGTGAAAGGTGGGTGGACTGCTTGCCTTAGATTCATTTAGCCTCGCATACAGTGTGCTAAGTAAGAGACCTGTGCAGAGGTCTACAGAACAAGGTTCTCTAGCACCGGTTTCCAACAGAGACTAATTGTACTTTGTGTTTTTTTTCACTTAAACTATTCTTTCTACTTTTGTTAAAGAAAATATGTTAATTCAAAGAGATGTTATGAATTTATGTGCGTAAACTCATATTTGCTTTATGACATCTCTGGAGAAATTATGGAAACCATTTAAAGATATGAGGAGTGAGCCAATACAGAGGATCAGATTGCCAGTTCAGGTATTGAAATCTTTCTCTATCAAGCCTTACTATTAAGAGCTGAGCCTTGAACAACACAAGGGTTAGTGGTGCTGACCACCCGACGGTGGAAAATCCCTGTATAACTTAAGTTGGCCCTCTACATATGTGGAATTTCAACCATGGATTAAAAATGCTGTTGACCGCGGAACAACATGTGTTTGAACTGCACAGCTCCACTTACATGAGTTGTTCAAGAGCCAAAGGATACATGTAACGAAAGGCACACAAGAGCCAAAAGGCACACAAGAGCCGGGAGTGCATCTACCCACGTTCTTCCTTCCTCTAATATGCCCTGTGATCCACAATAATAGACGAGGTGTCTAAGTAATGTGTGTATGCTTTTCACACGGCATGTTTTCAGTTTGGAAACATCTCCCCTTTTTACCCATATAATGTCATGTCTTAGGTGATATTTTACAGGGAGCCATGCTCCATAAATCCATAGATTCTACATTTGTTTGCCTCAACCGATCCTGTTGTAAATTAGGGACATCCTATTGAAGGCATTCTATCAACGACTCTTTTCCTAGATAACGTCACCCATTTGTTTATGAGGTGGTTGGTTTTTAGGTTACTGACATGATTCCAAGAAAATTAGATCTGGCTACCTGCCTGTTTTTCTCAGGAGTGTGCCCCTCCTTCTCTCTTTCTCCTTTCCACATACAAACCTCATTGTAGGTCAGAAGTTCAACTCATTTCTTCCCATTGAAGGAACTGAATGAAAACATTCACAATCCTGCTTGCTGGGGGTGGTTATAGTTAATATTTTGGTGTATTTTAAAACCATTTTCTGTAGGTATGTGTTTGCACATATGCTTTAAAGTAGTGGGCCTATATTTATACAGAATCTCGAAGTACTAAAGTCATGATTTTTTTAACACCAATGTTTTTCTTTAAAGCTTAATTGTTTTATGGATGATTGTTCTCTGAGAACTGTTTGAGTATATCCTCTGTACCTGCTCATGAGGAATTGTAGCACCAGCCTTTATTATGAGCAGCATTAATGTTCAGCTTTGCTGGAGACCTATTACAAAACTACCCAGTGGAGCTAATATCTTATTAAAAAAAAAAAAGGACACTTCTCTAAATTTGATAATTCAGTAATTGACCTGAAAAGGTCCAAGGCAGACCTGCTTTTATTGAATTCTGTTCTTTTAAAAAATTCTTTATGTAAGGAATGATCTCATTGTTTAATGTACATGTTTGTGCTGTGCCCATACTATCTTACTCATGGTAGAATTGCCTGGATATGATCTACATTGAAGCAGAATTAATTTGAGATGTTGCTTTGAGTTTATGTGGATAGTACCTAGCCAAGTTGCATTTGAAAACATGATGAATTTTATTGAGAATAGATTAAGAACTTCATATTTCTTGGATTGTAAACTAAATTGCTAATGAGATATATGATAACATCTTGTGCAGTACACAAATAGAGAATCATTTGGAATCAGGTGATATTTGACTTTATGGTGTAAGCTTGATTGTTGTCAACAGGGGCCTGGAAGAATTCTGTGGAAGAGTGGACAACAGAAGACTGGACTGAAGATGTAAGTGTTTAGTATCCGATCAGACCCATCTTTCTTTGGATTCTGGTAGGGGCATGCATATTTTGAATAAAGCTTGACATATCATATGGTTGTTCTTGGCTCTTTTTCAGACATCTGTGATTACCATGTTTGATTTTTTTTTTTTTTAAAGCAGATGCTTCTCAGAAGGAGGTTGGTGTTTTTAGATTTTTAAGAAACTTGGTTTTAAAGTGGCCACGTAAAAATCACCAGGTGTTAAATAGGACTGAAATAATTTTGTAGCTTATGTTTGTTTTGTTTGGCCTGATAATCAACTAATGCTTTTGCCCTGGCCTGTAAACTATTAATTATTCTTTATAACACTTTTATTAAAGGGGAGAGTCTATGTTTTAGGTCACATTTGAAATTAACCTGAATAAGTCGTTCTGGTTCTAGGCCCAACTTCTTTCCCTTTCATCTAGACTGGCTCTTTTTTTGGTATTCATTTATTCCAGACATTTTTAAGTATACTATACTAGCTTCTGGGTAGTGTCAATCTTAAATAAGTTCTGGGTTTAGCACAAGCTGTTCTTTGATAAAAATATTTAATTTGAAAAAGAAAAAGAACTGAACTAGTGCTATACCATATTTTATACCATTTATCTGTTTGACTCTCAAGGTCAAGAACCAGATGCCATGTACATGATAGAGAGTTACAGCAGACATTGGGAGGGAGAAAATAAAGGAGTTACAAGCATTGACCTTCAAAATCACATAATTGACCCAGATTTTGAGATGATTTTTTCCCTATGTCCCATTTTGTATTCAAAAGTATTTAAAAACAAAACAAAGCACCAAACTGCAGTTACGCTTCCTTTCTTTTTTAGCAGCATTATATCTGGCTCGTCAGGAAGTGAGCTGGGTTGGGTATGAGGAAGGAGGAGAATAGATATGCTCATCTGATTGGGATTTATGACAGTTAGGATATATTTTCATTTCTGCCACATACTAACCGTAAGTTCTTGGAGTATGATGTCACTGGGCTTCTACTACCTGTAACATGAGGAAGCTGGACTAGATGGGTGGTTATTTGAATCACTGGAGGGATGGGTACCAGGGGTAAGAGGAAGGGAGAGCGAGCAGCCTGTGAGCACTTCTAAAGGTTTTGTGTTATTATAAGTTTTGCTGAGAGTTTGTTGGGAGAAAAAGATGTTCCTAGGTCTCAAAGCTTTACTTATGTTGCCTGTAGTCTGGGTCATAGGCAGGGTAGAAAATCAGCAGAGAGTCGGAAGGGAAAAGGAGTGGATTCAGATTCTAGCTGGGTTGACCTCTTGACATTGGATGAGGCACCTTTCCTTTCTGAGCCTCCATTTTTCATCTATACAATGAATATCGTAATACCTTGTCCTGCCTTACAGCGTTTTTCTGTGGGTCAGATGAGGTCTTACGATGAAAGTCAGCTAACAAGCAGTTTAAATGTACACACATAACAGAGATATTAATATTCTTCTGTATAGACCATATTGTATCATAATGTAATTTATAACTACTGAAAATAATTAGCATAGAGAATTTGGCCATCTTCTTAGGAGTTATCAAAAAAAAAATCTAAAAGTTTTTTGAGATGATACTAAGTAATGGTGATTGAAAGGTGAGTTGAGTAATCTAAAATGCAAATCCTAAATTTCTTCTAGAGTGTAGAACAATAATAACTATTCACCTCTTCTTCCTCCTCCTCCCCTTTTTTCCAAAAGAGATGAAGGAAACATTCCAATTTTCTGTGTTATATCAGTTAGATTGGATGTCAATGATTAATGTGGTTCTGTTTACCTTGAACTTACTAACATTTTGAAGACTTTAGATCTACCCTATCATTGCTTTTCGTTGAAGAAAAGAATTCCTCCTTTATTGCTTCTCTTTGTCTTAACTGTTTAATTTGTAAGATTCTTTAAGGCAAAAATGGATTCTTTGGGACTCTTAACACATTAAGGACGGGGCATTTAAATGTATAGAACCAAATCTGTGTCACCGATCCACAATGTGTTAAGATACTACGTTGGAATAGAGTTCAGTATTAAGCCCTTCTTGTTGAAATAGTAATCAATTCAGTACTTTCTGTTTTTATAGAAAATGAACACCTACTGTCTGCTCTGCTTCTGCCTGAATATTAATGTCCGAGGAAGTTGATTTTATATGTTGTGTCAGAGTTCTGAGATGTTTAGAACTAGTAAGAATTAAAGCAGTCTTTGAATAACATTTTCATTGTTTTTTTTATAGTATCTTATTAGATCAACATTTATCAGCCTTTAAAAAGCCCTGCCCCACTTTGAAATGTGAAAAGAGCCTACCTTTCTCTCAATAATGTCAATTGAGGTTTTAAAAAATTTTATCCTGTGTACCTTAAAAGTGCATTAAAACAATGCATGTATCTCAGAATAATTGAGTGAAAGAAGCAAAAAGGGGGGCATATTTTTCAAATCCACTTAAAATTCTACAAAATACAACCTAATCTATAATGACAGAAAGTACATTGATTGTTGCCTGGGGATGAATGTGAGTGGTGGAAGGGATTGATTGATTACCTAGGGACAGGAGCAAACTCTTGGGATAATAGGTGTCGTTCACTGTCTTGATTTGGTGATGGTTTCATGGGAGTACACATATGACAAAACTCATTTAATTATTCAGGTCGCATATTTGCAGTTTACTGTATGTGTTATATCTCAATAAAATTATTTTTATTAAAACAGCAAAAAAACTTCTGACTTAATAAAAAAGGAAATTGCTAGTAAGAGCTTGCTAATAAACAAAATACTAAAGCCAGCTATCTTTGGGGAAAGAAAACATCAATTATTTTGCCTTTTCAAACTTCTTTACTTTTTTTTTTTTTTTGGTGTGTATGGAGACATTGCTGGTGGTTTTACTGGTATTCTCATTTTGTGTAATGGAAAATAGAGGAGTGAGACTGGGACTTGAACCCTGGTCTGACCACTTCACTGTGTTGTTTCCCTGGTGTGAAATCCTTATTGTGGGCTTATCGATCATAAATTACCTTCAGCTTAAGAAAATTACTTGTCATAATCACCTGTATATTTCCTTTCCTTTAGACCACGTTTTGGGTGAACTATAATGAGAGTACAATGAGTAAAAATTGTCAGGAATTTGATATGTTTTTGATTTTATGTTTTTTAAAATATTTTTTCATCCCTTTCATACAGCTTTCTGAAACAAAGGTCTTCACTGCCTCATCTGTACCACCAGAGAATCACGTCACACCTGGGCAAAGGTAAACACTTTTTGCCACCATTTGTTATTCAAAAGCATAATTGAAATTTCTTGCCCCAGGAACATTGTTTTGGTTCTTGGGTCTCTTTTTATTTTTTTCTATTTTCTTGAATCTTTTTCTGTTTTCTCCCTTTTCTTGAATCTCTTTCTGTTTTCTCCCTTTCCGTACATGACTTTATCCCTCACCTACCTGATGCTTTGACAGAACCTTCATCATTTCCTAATGGTTGTATCCACTGATGAATTAAAATAGCAATTATGTTGATATTTGTGGCAGAGAGTATGTTAAACCTATTTAATGGTTCTTTTTTACTTTTGCAAACATGTTTTTTGACAGCTGAATGTAATACAAAATATCCTTTGGTTTCTTCATATAATACCATTATTTAGATCTTTTCAGGCTAATACAAACTTCTCATTTTGTATGGATTCTACAAGTTTTAATCTAATAATCTCATAGATTACAGAGAAGGAGCTTTTGGGGTAATACAAATGTTGTTAGAATGTGTAGAGAACTGAATTATTGAAAAGCATTTATTTACATCTTAGTTTACACAGAAACTCTAAAAACCTTTGATTATGGTTTCAAAATGCAGTGATCTAGGAGGATGAAAGTCATGATATATATGATACCTGAGAATTGAACTTAACATGCTCAGTTTCATGCTAAATGAGATGCTTGTAAGATTTTGTTATAGGGGAATAAAAACAATAAAAGGTTATGTCTTGCAATATATTGTTTTGTGAATTGCTCAGAATTTCTTGTTAAATGTATATAACTTCTTCATTGTAGTTATTTCTCAATGAATTTGAAAGAATCATTTTTATTAAAAAAATAAGTGGACTTCTTATGTGGTTATTTTTCAGAAGACAGTGCTTCATGTCTTCTGTTTCATGCATATATCTTATCAGTCTTTTGGAATAGAACTTGCTCTGTTTTTTTGTAGTAATGCAACTTTTGGGGGATGGGTCATATGTGATATAAGTACCCTGGATTTCTATCCCCGAAGTTAGGATATCATAAGCTAGAACATTACCCTGGAATCCAAAATGCTAGTCTGGAACTTCAACCTGGTTATGGGAAAGTGAGAGTGGTAGTGCATAGGGAGCGGAACTCAGGCCCAGGAAGTTTGCTCTGAATCAGGAATGAGTTGAATTATTTCACCTCTCAGAATCTGGTATGGTGAAAGTTTCATTTAGGAGAAGTGATTGGAAACTGGCCTTTGCAAGGGTTTAGTGGATCGAATTACCATGTTAGGTAATTCTGTGCCCCGGCAGGTCCTGTGGAGAAGTTATAACTCACTCACATGTCAGGTACTATATGTATCTGGAAGATCATTTCTTTCTCATGCTTTCAGGTTTTAGGCCACGGCTCTCAAATGGAAATATCTGTATTTCTGGGGGCATTACAAGAGTTGTAGTTAACAGAGTATTTGTTAATACAGTGTACATTTTTTCCTGAATATTTAAGAAAAAAATTATGAGATTTATACAAACCTAAATATATTATTGGATAGAAAGCAGAACTTATAGGAACATTTATGATAAATGTGAAACTGCTTCAATGGTTTACTGTGGCTGTGGTCCTCATTCCCAAAAATATTGGGTTCACTTTCCTTTGGGAAAATTTGAGACACTGGTTCCAAGTAATAAGAGGGGCAAAATATTCTAAAAGGAATGAGGTAAACTTCAGAAAATTGTTGACACAGTTGCTCTAGATTTTCAAATCAGTTGTCATTGTGTCATTTCTCTGGAAATAATCTCAATGTGCCTTTTTGTTTTTCTTCTCTGCAAAGTCCTGTGGCTTCATATGCTTTTTTTGGAGGCAATTGATGCCCACCTTTTGGCTCCCTTAAACTCCAGTTTCCACAGTTATTCCTCACTTAAATAATTTTTAGCATGAGCTTACTTTATATTGATTCACTTCTCAAATTCATTTGTTGGTAAGATTTGTTTATGACTTGTTCCTTCTTTGCTTTTTGTCTGATTAGCATTGATCTGGTAGCCTTGCTCCAGAAGCCTGTTCCTCCTAATCAAGCCTCAGAAGTCAACTCCTTTGAAACTTCCCAACAGCAGGGCTTTGGCCAAGCCCTTGTTTTCACAAATTCTCAGCACAACAATCAGATGGCACCAGGGACTGGCAGCTCCACTGCTGTCAACTCCTATGCTCCTCAGAGCTTGGTAACTCACTTTTATTTCAGTATGAGATTTTAAGGAATGTACCCATGAGCAAATGTATTCTAGAGTGACACGTGCCTTATAATTTTCTAAATATAAAAATGTCTGCAGTGTATCTCAGTCCAGAAAACAATGATGTCTTCATTTCCAAGCACATATCTGATGATTCCATGTGGAATTCAACTACTCTGAGCTTTCTGGATAAAGAGAAAAATCTTTATGATTAGTTGAAATATTTTCAATTGTAATCACTCAGACATCTTTCTTATTAATAATTGTTTCTTGGGTTTTATTTCAAAGCCTGTCTCTATACTTAAGATGTTAAAATTGTCATTTATTTTCCAATTTATTTAAATGCAAATGTTTGTCAGTATTGGCTCCAAGTCTGCGTAGGTGCTTATATTTTTTTGTATTTTTGGTTTTTTAGTCCATAAACTTAATGCACTTTTTCTTTTTCTTTTTCTTTTTTTTTTTTTTAAAGATTTTATTGGGCAATCGGGGAAGGGGAACAGACAAGTTGCTGTCCTTTTATTCTTCGGTCTAGTTGTGGAGGATGTTGCTTTACTGGCCCATGTTGGTGTTATCATTGCGCTCTTCTTGGGTGACACAGATTGGTCGCCAGCCACTGGACGGTGGCTCTTGGCAGCTCACTCTGGCTGCCAGCCGCTCACGGTAGCTAATGGCAGCCCACTGCAGCTTCACTGCAGCCTACGCCGTTGCTGGCGACTCACGGTAGCCCAGCTCCAGGTTGAGCTGTTGTTCAGCATCTTAGCTGTAGAGGGCAGCCTCACTGGCCCTGATATGTGGGATCCGAACCGGGGCACTCTGGCGTCCCAAGCCAACTCTTAACCAATGCGCCACTCGGCCGGCCCATGTTGTTCACCATCTTAAGCTGTAGAGGGCGCAGTGTCACTGGCCCTCATGTGGGATCCTTACGGAGGCCCTGCTGCTCAGAGCTGGTGTCCCAAGCCAATTCCTAACCAACGTGCCACTTGGCCAGCCCAGATCATTTCTGTTTTTGATCTTTTAGGTAGTTTTAAAAGTAATTTTTGACAAAGAACTACCTTTTCAGAAACTGAATGATTTTGATAATATAAAAATGCAGTTTGTCTGCCACTATGTTCTCTAGTCACAGGCTTTCATTCTCGTGAGATCTTGATATCTGACCTGACAGGATAGATGGGGAGGTGTAACATTGTCTTTTGTATGCTTACTTATAGAACGTATTTGGTGTTTTAGTCATCTAAATTAGTTGAAATAAACACACCAGTTTCCACGGTATCTGTTCAATACACAGATACCTTCTGTGTAATTCAGTGTCTGATTTTGGAATACTAACTTTTTAAGTAAGTGCTGTGACCTGGTTCTGGTCTTGTAAGCTGACCTCATGGCTGATCTTTTTTTGTGATCAAACCTATTCTAATTATTAAAGGTGATTACTGTTCCACACATTAAGAAAAAACTATTTTTGTTTTATAAGCTTGTCTTTATCATTTAATTCATGGTATTCCTCCTTAGTTTAAAAAAACAGTAGTATTTTGTTCGTGGATTTGTGACACCACTTTTTAAAAAAGTCAATTTCTTGGGCCGGTGGAGTGGCGCATTGGTTAGGAGTTGGCTTGGGACGCCAACTCTGAGCAGCAGGGCCCCGGTTCGGATCCCACATGAGGGCCAGTGACGCTGTGCCCTCTACAGCTAAGATGCTGAACAACAGCTTGACCTGGAGCTGGGCTGCCGTGAGTGGCCGGCGACAGCGTAGGCTGCAGTGGGGCTGGCCAGCTGGTGTGAGCTTTCGTGAACTGCCGTGAGCGGCCGTCTAATGGCCGGCGAGTGACTGTCTCACCCGGGAAGAGTGCAATGATAATACCAACATGGGCCAGTGAAATGATGTCCTCTACAACTAGACTGAAGAACAAAAGGACAGCAACTTGTCTGTTCCCCTTCCCCGATTTCCCAACGCTGTTCCCCTTCCCCAATTGCCTAATAAAATCTTAAAAAAAAAAAAAAGTAAATTTCTTAAAATCCAGAGAAAATATTTGCCTTTCTTTTAACCTCTTATATCAGAATCAGGAAGGATTGCTGGATTTATTTAGTGAGATCTTGTTGCATAGTAATATTTCATGTAGTATTTATTCATATGAGTCTTACTAATTCAGATTTTTGCTCTAGGTTATAGTTTTTAAAATCCTTGTGAAAATACTTGGTGTGTTTTAAAGCCTGGGGTAGAAATTCTGTATTGCTGAGGATTTCTGCTTTCTTTTCCTTTAAAGTCATCTGTCCTCGGTTCAGGATTTGGAGAGCTTGCACAGTCAAAAATGGCAAACATCACCAGCTCACAGATTTTGGACCAGTTGAAAGCTCCGAGTTTGGGCCAGTTTACCACCACCCCAAGTTCACAGCAGAATAGTACAAGTCCCCCCACAACCACTTCTTCTTGGGACCTCAAGCCCTCAGCTACCCAGTCCTCAGTCCTTAGCCATTTTGGTAAGTATACATTTTCTCTGGTGGTTTGCCCCCCAGTGGGGACATGCAAGACATTAGCAGAGCATGTTGATTTCTGAACACTAATGTGGAATTTGTCCAGAGATTTTTTTTTTTTATAGCAGAACATTGCAGAGTTTCTGAATTAAGTCAGTCAGCTTTGTATTGTATAAACAACTGCACTTATTTGTTGTTACTGTTGTTAACAGTAGTACATACTTTGAAGAGATGTATGAAAGCATGGTAAGGGCATGCAAATATAAAGAAACAATACTTTGAGGAAATGTCTAGACAGAATTTCCTGAGCTGTATTAGATAGAATAGGGTGTTGACAGAAGGTGGAATGTAGACAACATTTTAAATCACACCCCTTAGGTTGTTTTCTCATTCTAACGTTTGCATGTATCCACCACGACTTGGTCCAGCCTTACTATCTGTGGTTTATAATTTAAAGGCACCACGTGTAAGTTGGATGTTTTCTAAACTGTACTCCCAGAGACTTTGTGACATTAAGCCAACATTTCCCACCAACACACACCTCACTCTGTATTAAGGAATTTCTTGGCTGAATGAAATAACTTACTGGAAGTACCTGAAACTGTTCCCAGATTTGAAGTGATGTCTACCAAGGAAATTCATTAAAGACTCAATTCCTAAGATTCTTACTGGGGGGCTGGTTACGTAGGCACCCTCTGCCTAGTACATGCCAAAATTTCACATTCCCAAAAGGAAAGCAAGTGCTCAACATAAACCACGTTGTACAAACATTGAAGGCAGAGAGTCACTTTTATCGGTTAGAGTGTTGGCATCCCTTTCCTAGAACATACCAGCCAAGAGCCAGTCTTGCAAGCCAGCATTTCTGATGGCAACTCTAGGCTTCCTGTGTTAACTTTTTCCTACACACTTACTGAGTGATGATGAGTTTTTAGATTTGAGCATGCTATTTCCATATGCTTTACAAAGCCTGTCTTTTTCATAGATGCTTCTAATATTAAGTCCAAAAGTAGATTCATCTAAGATGGAAATATACTAAGTCATATGTTGGCAAACCTTCAACTGGATCTGCCACCTGTTTTATAAACACAGTTTTATTGGAACACAGCCATTTACATATTGTCTATAACTACTTCTAGTCTACAAAGGCAGATTTCAATGGTTGCTAACAGATGGCCTTTCAAAGCCTGAAATATTTACTATCTGGCCTTTTGCAGAAAAAGATCTATAGAGGTAGCATTTGAAACCAGTGATGTAAAGGTGTTTATTGCTCTTGGATATCTGGCTAAAAAATGAAGTTGTATCCCTAATACTTACTCTAAACTGAAGTGCCAAATAAGTCAAATACTGAACATAAATAGTGAATCTAGAACAGTAATAGAGAAAAACATAGGAAGATTTTAATATGCTCTATGTGAGGTAGACCTTTCTAGATACGATAGAAAACACCATAACCAAATCAGAAGAGACAAACTATGAAAAAATCCTTGAAAATCATATAGACAAAGGGCTAACTTCCTTAGTATAAAAAGAATAACTAATCAAAGGAGGACCAACAAAGTAAAAAAATGGTCAAAGAGGTATGGACATGTCAAGTTCATAGGCAAAGAATACCTAATTATATGAATGATGCCTAAATGAACTTAGATCATTTTATTTTGCATCCTTTATACCATTTCCCATCAGTCAAACTAGGAAGGATAAAAGTTTAGCATTAAAGTATGTTAAAAGCATTTGTTCTGTCTGTGGATAGGAATTTTGAAGTGTTAGTCAAAATTTAAAATATCGTTATTCTTTGAACAAGCAATTCTATTCTAGCATCTGATTTTGCAGGTATACTTGCATTTAAGCAAAATGTCTTACATAAAGATACAGTCATTGCAGCATTGCTTTTCCTAGCAAGAGATTGGATGGAAGACCTGAAAGTCCATTAATTTAGTAGTAATTAAAAAAAAAAGATACCTGTGTACACTGGATTACTATGTGGCCATAAAAATGAAGTAGCTCTTCACACATTAATGTGGAACCGTTTCTGAAACTTAAATGGCTTGTAAGGAAGCAAGCGATTATATAATATATAAAAATGTATGTGTGTGTGCGTGCGCATGTGCGTCTCTTTATATTTATAGTATGTGGGGATACAAGAAACTGGGTATAAAAAAAAAACCGGGTATAGTGTTTGTCTCTGTGGAGCGAATCTGGGGATGAGGTAGAAGGGTGATTAGTAGTCATCATATACATTTTTTTACCTCTTGGATTTTGTAATATTACATGGTACTTAGTGAAAAAAATTAATAAAATAATTTCTAAAAGTTTAGTAGAAAATCCATAAAGCAACAAAAATATAATTTTCTGTTAGCTGAAGGCCAGGTGGTGTGTATAGCAACTATCCTTACCCACTCCCTACCTCATGTGCTTTAGAATAAACTGAATCTTCTCTGTGCTTAAGAAATTTGCTGCAAACCCATTCAGGAATCCTTTTTCATTCATCATATGGGAGGGGCACTTACGGGATAGAGCTAGGAGATGGTTGGGAGAAACTGGTGGTGACTGTAACTCCTCACTGCCAGTGATGGTGGACAGCCCATGGGCCTAAATAATTGATTGTTGCTTGCTTTTTTTTTTTTTTTGTACCCCCCTCTTTACATATTTCATAGACTTTAAATCTCAGCCTGAACCCTCCCCAGTTCTTAGCCAGTTGAGCCAGCGACAGCAGCACCAGACTCAGGCAGTCACTGCTCCTCCTCCTGGGTTGGAGTCCTTTCCTTCCCAGGTAAAACTCCGAGAGTCAACACCCAGAGACAGCACCTCCACTGTGAACAAACTCTTGCAGCTTCCCAGCCTGACTGTTGAAAACAGCCCTGTGTCTGCCCACCAGCCACAGCCTAAACACATCAAGCTCCCTAAGCGGCGGATACCTCCAGCTTCTAAGGTGGGTATTCCATTGTAAAGTCACAGTCCTAATGGTGAATGTATTTTAACATTTAGCTCAAGTGTTGGGTTAGCAAGTCTGAGAAACTGTGAATGTGGTATTTTTCAAGCACATAGCTTACTGTTTTATGAGGAATTGGCTGTTTCTGAGTGAATGGGCTAATATCAGAGGGAGTAATGGGTTTATGCTGAGAGACCGAGACTGTTAATTCAAATTACAGGATCTGGCTCAAAGAGTCTGATGGTCTTTTGCATTTAGCTGTGTCCCCTAGATAGAGGATGAGTGGGTCTTTGCCAGGTAATGCTTTCATCAGAGGCCCACTCTCCTTCACTCATCCATGACCATAAGCCCCTCTCCCATATTGCTGTAAGAAGCAGGTGGTAGCACTGACCATTTTCCCGTTAGCTTTTAATTTTTCTTTGCTCTTTTCCCTTTTCTGTATTTAAAAAAGATCCTATTCCTTTTTCCTTCCTTTAGGCCTCTTGTTCCTCAGGCCTGCCAGCAGTGCCCTGGCTACCCAGTGCCCATTTGGCTCTGGGAGTTGGAATCCCTGACCTCTGTTCTGACATGGCGGCTTTGCTTTTTCAGATCCCAGCTTCTGCAGTAGAAATGCCTGGCTCAGCAGATGTTACAGGATTAAATGTTCAGTTTGGTGCCTTGGAATTTGGATCAGAATCTTCTCTCTCTGAATTTGGATCAGCTACAAGCAGTGAAAATAGTAACCAGATTCCCATCAGCTTGTATTCGAAGTCTTTAAGGTACACAACTTCCCACTTCTCTGGTTTTGACTGAATTAAGTCTTTTATTTGCAAGGTAAAACAAAATAGAGCCTAAGAAATCACCTGGTGGAGACAGTGCACCCTGTGGTAATAGGTTTGTACAGCCATCCCCAGTATCTAATTCCAGAACTTTACTTCCATCACCCTAAAAGGAAACCCTGTGCCTATTAGCGGTCACCCCAGTTTCCTCCTGCCCTCATCCCTGGCAACCAGTAATCTGCCTCTGGATTTTCTTCTCAACATTTCATACAACTAGAAGCATATAATTTGTTGCCTTTTGTGTCTGCGTTCTTTCACTTGGCATTGTGTTTTCAAGGTTCATCTGTGTTGTAGCATGTATGCGTTTTGTTTTGAAATAATATTTTATTGTGCAGACATACCACATTTTGTTATCCATTCATGAGTTGATGGATATTTGATTTGGATTGTTTCCACTCTTTGGCTATTATGAATCACGCTGCTATGAACATTCAGTTACAGATTTTAAGTGCTTTTGGTTCTTAGGAAATCCTCTGTTATATGTTAACTCTTATATTTAACCATTTGAGGAAGCATCAAACTTTTTCCATGGTGGCTGCAGCCTTTTACATTCCTACGAGTAATCTCTGAGGGATGCAATTTCTTCACATCTTCCCAACACTTACTTTCCTCCAGTGGAATATTTTATAGAGAAGCCCAGATTTTAGATTTTATTTTATTAGTTAATTTTCCACTTTCCAGAGTCCAAATTCTGATATTTGCTTGGGCTCCCTTTGTAAAGATGGTCTTAGATCTGGATTCCTTAAAGATTCTTCAAGCTGTCCCTCTGCCTGTCAATTAAATAGGTGCGTCTAGCTTTTTCGGGGGGTTGTTTTCAATCTTAAGTGCATTGTTAATGCATTTAAAGAATGCAGTAGTATAAATTTATAGTTATAGATGTGTTTACTTAATTTAGAATATGACAAAATGATGAAATAGTTCTACTTCATGAAGCCAGGTAAAGGGACGCAAATTTGTGTCTCATACAAACTTACGTCTAATTTTATTCTTTGTAGTGATTCTTTGAATACCTCTCTGCCAAGGACCAGTGCAGTACAGAACTCCACCTATACAACTTCAGTCGTTACCTCCTCCAGTCTGACCAGTTCATCCCTGAGCTCCACTAGTCCAGTAACAACACCTTCCTCCTATGACCAGAGTTCTGTGCATAACAGGATTGCATACCAAAGCTCTGTAAGTCCATCAGAGTCAGCTCCGGGAACTGTCATGGTGAGTGGTCTTTCAGCTTTCTTCTCGTCCTGTTTGGAGCTAAGCGTGTAGTTGGGGAAATGAAGATTTTTGGGTGGGATTTTTCTTTTATTAAAAAAAAAATATTTTTTTTTTAAAGATTTTATTGGGGAATTAGGGGAGGGGAACAGCACTGGGGAATCGGGGTAAGGGGAACAGACAAGTTGCTGTCCTTTTTGTTCTTCAGTCTAGTTGTGGAGGACGTTGATTCACTGGCCCAAGTTGGCACCATCATTGCGCTCTTCCCAGGCGAGGCAGATCAGTCGCCGGCTTCTGGACGGCCGCTCACTGCGGCTGCTGGCCGCTCACGCTGGCTGCTGGCTACACACGGTAGCCCATGGCAACCCACTGCCACAGGGGCTGCAGCCTACGCCGTCGCCGGCGACTCACGGCAGCCCAGCTCCAGGTTGAGCTGTTGTTCAGCATCTTAGCTGTAGAGGGCAGTGTCACTGGCCCTCATATGTGGGATCTGAACCGGGGCCCTCTGGCGTCCCAAGCCAGCTCTTAACCAACACGCCACTCGGCCGGCCCGGTATTTTTCTTTTAGAAGTTGGGTCTGGTTTTGTTGAATTTGCTAATAGTGAGCATCTCGTTTGAGACATGCATTTTAAGCACCATACATAGAAGTGTGTGAATGGCCCCAGAAGTTTGGTATGAGGACATACCCCAAATTGTTCATAGTGGTTTAGATGGGATAGGAGGGGACTATAATCTTTTTTGTAAGATTTCAGTTTCCTGTAAGTTAAAGACATTTAATCATTACTGGTGAGAGCTACTTTAAAAAGTGGATGGGAACATAAAAATATTAAAAACATGAATTGGCCTAGCAGAAATTTAGGTACATTTTCTAAATTTCCTTCTAAACAGGAGATATTTGTACATCTCTACTTTAGAGTGGTTTTTTTAGTCTCCTTCCCTTTTGTTGTTTTATATTTTAAGTTAGATGTTTTCCTCAAATGTCTGGTGATACATGACATTAAAAGAGGGCTCTGTCTTGGGGTGGGGGTGGGGGTGTAGGTTTTTGAATGTGCTTTGATGTGGGACAACATGGGTGGGCCATTTCTTTGTGGGTGGGAAACGCCTTTGTCAGCCCCCTTGGGCCCTGTGGTTGAGCTTGCTTAGATTCTGCAGGGACTGTGCTTCCAGTCTCTTCCCTGTAGGGCCTATGCCTGTCTGACAGTGTCCTAAGAGCCTAGTGGGAAACGAAGGCTGCCCTTGGAATGCTCGTTTTGTCTACATTGACTTGATTCATCTCCTTTTTACAGTGCTTTGGCCATGTGTTACCTTCTTGATAAAGCTTAGAGCCTTGGGAAAAGGTGGGAGGGAAAGAGGGGATCTGGTTCTGTGTAGTCTGTGCAGGAGTGGGCTGTGCATATCCTCCTACACACAGCTCTCACTCCACTCCCACTTTCAGGGTTATCTGGTATAGAGAAATACTGAGTTGCTTTGTTTTCTGGTTTTCCCTACTATTGGCTTAGGGTTTGGTTTTACAGGGTCAGCTAAGTCAGTTACCATTTTTTCATCTGTATTTGTCTTTCTGGGTTTACATATTTTTTTTAAAAACATGTATTCTTTTTTTTTTTTTTAGCTGAGCCATCTTGCCTGTTGGCAGCTCAGTGGCAACTCAGCTCGGGCCGGGCATCGAACCGCTGTTGCTCAGAGCTCAAACTCTTGCACAAGCTCTTAACCAACTGAGCCACTTGGCCGACCCCCAAAAAAACATGTATTCTTGATCTATCATCTTTAACAAGGAGCTTATTCCTACGCTTTCCAATACGGTAACCACTAGCCACCTGTAGTAGTTTATTTAAAATAAATAATTATAAGTTTAGTTTCTCCGACACACTAACCATATTTGAATGCATATCCAGATACAGTTAGTGGCTGTAATATAGGACCATACACATACAGAATATTTCCATTTTTGCAGAATATTTCCTTGGACAGTGCTGGTCTGTGCATTTTCTAAAACATCAGTCAAACTACTTGCTATCCAAGCTTAAATCTTTGTCATCTCCATGGCATCTCAATTCCAGCTCTAACTTTACCTCTTGTTTTGCTTGCACATATATGTCACTGTTTACCTCATTCCTTGCTTGGCTAGCTGAACCAAAACCCTTGTAGATTTCTGATCTTCCCTGACCATTTGATACTTTACTTTTGTTACCACCATTTCTTTTGCCTTGAATTTCCTCCACCACAAATAATGTGGCCCCTTTGTTGTGTCAGTTTGTCTATTGTTTATGTTTTTAAAATGATTTTGAAGGTGAAATGAAATATTCCTCAGGTCTGATGGCTGCTGTTTCCTGTTTTGAGTAGACTTCTTTGTATGTCAGGGTTTGTGTTGTTCAGGATGCATATGCTCAGTGTCATGTGTCTATATGTTCAGTGAGTAGTGACCCTCATTTAGAGGGAGGCAAAGGAGTACAACTTTGAATGCTTCTCACCCATCTTTATGTATTGGTGAGGTGTGCTGTTTCCCTTTCCTTGCCTTTAACCTTTTAACTTTTTATCCCCCCCCCTACCCCCCAGCAATTTTGTTTTATTGTTTACATTTCTTGTAAATAATCTCGGGCCGGCCGAGTGGCACGTTGGTTAAGAGCTGGCTTGGGACGCCAGAGGGCCCCGGTTCGGATCCCACATATGAGGACCAGTGACACTGCCCTCCACAGCTAAGATGCTGAACAACAGCTCAACCTGGAGCTGGGCTGCCGTGAGTTGTCGGTGACGGCGTAGGCTGCAGCCTCTGCTGCAGTGGGTTGCCATGGGCTACTATGTGTAGCCAGCATGAACGGCCAGCAGCCACAGTGAACGGCTGTCCAGAAGCCGGCAACTGATCTGACTCACCCGGGAAGAGCACAATGATGGTGCCAACTTGGGCCAGTGAAGCAACGTCCTCCACAACTAGACTGAAGAACAAAAAGGACAGCAACTTGTCTGTTCCCCTTCCCCCAATTCCCCAGCGCTGTTCCCATCCCCCAATTCCCCAATAAAAACCTTTAAAAAAAAATCTCAATTTAAGAATAAAATGTGTTGTAAATTACATTTCATGCAGAAATTGTAATAGATTTGGGTTAATGTAGAGGTAATGGCTGTAAGGTTTGTCTTTTCCTTTAGTCATTTTGACATTTGTAAGAAGGAAATGTCTGTTAGCAGCTTCTTTCTTCCATCTAGGGACAGTGTCTGAGCCTTGTAGGCTTCATTATCAGGCCCTCTCTGTCCTGTCTCCCCTGCTCAGTCTGGAAGCAAAAGTTTTCCTTGTGAGTCGGTTCCCATGAAATACCTTATGGTTAACTCAAACCAGTTGATTTCATGTTCTGCTCTTTTTGGGACTACCACACTGTCCCAAACCAGTGTTTCCCACCCACTTCAGAAAAGACAAGTTTAATAGTAACATCCCTTTTTATCTGAGAACCATTTTGCTATTAATATAAAATGTATTCCCTATAGGAAAGATATCTTTGTTATAATTTGGAAAGTTTTTCTTTCCTGCATGAGTGGTCTCTCAGGAGACAGAACATACATGAGACAAGAAAGTTTTCTGGTGCTCCCAATGTAATGAGAGTTCCTAAGTTCTTTGTACTGCTTAATAATTTTTAAGACTGTTCTCTTGCTTCCTGTGATTTGGGTCTTATGTTGTGACCTTGTTACTTTCCTAAATACCCAGTCTGATTCTCAAAAATGTCAGCTCCTTGAATTTATTAAGAATTTGTCATATTGCCTTTCCTTTTATGAAAACACAAAATGAAACAGGCCACTGTTCCTTGATTAATTTGTATTTCATATGTTTTTGGATAAATCCAAATAGAAAGTCATGTAGTTATCATTTGATTTTTGTGGGTTTACTTACTTTCTTTTCTCTTTTTTATAGAATGGACATGGTGGTGTTCGGAGTCAGCAGACAATAGACAGTAAGTGTATAAGCTAATTTTGTTATGATTGGTAAAAAAACAACAAAAAAACTAAATGTGATAGGGCAAACAAATTGATAGCTAATTCTGCAAAAATAGCCCTTTTAGGTTTTTTCTGATAGCTACTTCTGATCTATTGTTGGCACCCTTTCTTTGGCAAGGTTTAGAAGTTCCACTAGAGATTCTCATGTGACCAGGTTGTAGCTGGTGTTGTTATTAGAAATACCATAGCCCTGAAAGGAGGTGATACAGTCTCACATTCTGCCCTAGCCAGTCTACACCCAGAGTATTGTTTCAAAAGATGCTTTGCTCAGAGTGCATGTTCTAAGATGGTCAGAGGGCTCTCACTCCAATACTGTGAAGGACTTTTAAAGCTAAAATTGGTGTGCTAGTTCAGGAAAGACATGCTTATTGCCTATAGGTTCTGATGGACTGACTATTGCTAGGAAGAGGGATAAAATGCTGCTCCCTGTAAACTCTTGGGAGAAAATGAGGGGATTCCCCCTACTGCAATTCTGGTACAGCTCAGTGATCACTGGAGAGAGTGTAGGTGACTACCTGTTGTTTCTTTCCTTCGCTCTCGGCTACCTCATCTGTGATTGTTTATGATGATTTTTGTTGATCATTCAATGAGGCAAATGGGTATTGGGTATGGAAACCAGAAAAACTTTCTTTTTATTTACCATTATTTTTGGAGTGCGGACGTGGAACTTGACCAGACCAGGACTGGGCCTCGGGTGGAATTGAGAGGACACATGCGATTCACCCAGAGTTGGTTTTGGTATTGCTGGGCTACCAGGGCTGTTGGAGATACGCTGGTAGCTCTGAGAATGTGGGATGTCAGAGGAGGTCCTCACTCCACAAGCTGTGGTGGTCAGTTTCTCTTGTCCTGACATGGGGGTTGAGAACACATAGAGGCATACTAGATGATTTGGAGATTTTAAAGGAGAGAATGAGATACGAGATGTCTGGAAAACATAATGTACGTTTTAGATAGGCTTTTTTTTTTTTAAGATTTTTATTGGGGAATTGGGGGAAGGGGAACAGACAAGTTGCTATCCTTTTGTTCTTCAGTCTAGTTGTGGAGGACGTTGCTTCACTGGCCCAAGTTGGCACCATCATTGTGCTCTTCCCGGGCGAGGCACATCAGTCACCGGCTTCTGGACGGCCGCTCACACTGGCTGCTGGCTACACATGGTAGCCCATGGCAACCCACTGCCACAGGGGTTGCAGCCTACGCCGTCGCCGGCGACTCAACGGCAGCCCAGCTCCAGGTTGAGCTGTTGTTCAGCATCTTAGCTGTGGAGGGCAGTGTCACTGGCCCTCATATGTGGGATCCGAACCAGGGCCCTCTGGTGTCCCAAGCCAGCTCTTAACCATCGCGCCACTCGGCCAGCCCATTTAGATAGGCTTTTATCTCTTATGCTCTCTTCTTCCCCCATTATCTTTTTTCACCCACATACACTTGTTCTTTGAGAAGCTTTTCATGGATCTGTTAACACTGTGATCTAAGACCTAGGGAGGTGACTTTTGGGGTCTGAGTTTTGAGTCCGGGACATCTGTGGTGTCTTCATTTGATTCTGTAAGAATAGGTGTCACGTTTGGAATGGCCTGTCAGTAAAAAGCAAACCTCAGGCGTGTAAAGGCTGCTGTAAGGATTGGCCGGGCTGTGTGTTGACTGTGTTGCTGCCTGTGCTTATTTTCGAATTGTCCTTTCTCTTAGAAATGAATGTGTTTTCCCCTGGGCTCCCAGGGAGCGCTGCAGGAGGGTAAAATCGCCTCTGCTTCCTAAGTGGAAAAGACAATGATGCTTTATTTCCAAGCACATATCTGAGTTGTATGTGTGGATGGTACTGAAACTGAGTCTTTTCTGCAGTTAGCATTGATTGCACTCATGGTCTTCTAAGAAGCCCAGCGTGCTCAGGTTGTTCTGTTCAAGCACATGTGGAGGAAATAAATGCTCACTGTGCCTTTGAAAGGAGGTATTGGATGTGTATTCTTGCTGCAGATTTGAGACATATGTTACTTCACAGTGTATGTACCCTGGGCTTTCAGCCCCCACCTGCTTTAACCTGGCTGTGAGCTCTCACAAGATCAGCCTGATTTGATAGAAGCAAAGACCTCGCTAGCCCCGGGTGGTCTTGCCCACCCGATTTTCACTGGTCCTTGTTGTACCTTTTGAGGAAATTTGCCTCACGTTATAATTATATAAATCAATCTTAGAGCCTCTTGCACTTTTCGGGTGCGGCTTAGGGTCCGGTTCCTTTAGTTGGGAGAAGTATGTCTACATCATAGGACAGTTTATGATGATAAAGATGTCATTTCCTACTCTTTGCTTGAATCCTGTGCATCTGACCATCGTGTGTCCTTTTGATCGTATCTAACAGAGAAGAGACTGGTGACATGCTTGGGCATTTTCCATGGGGAATGTAACTTTATATATGTCTAAACCGAGCCTGACATGTCCCAAAACATATATTTCAGACGTTCATGGTTGTTTCTGGAGCTAACAGATCTGTTTCTTTCAGCTACTTCCTCCGTTCCAGCTCCAGAGACAGCAGACCCTCCCTGCGCGCCCCCGCCTGTGGGCCCCCTGCCCAGTACCACCTCCTGCGCTGTGCTTCTACCCTCCGCATCCCAGCACACTGCCACTTTGCCTGCCTTGTCCCAGCCTGGTGACCTGTCCAGCAGCTCTCTCTCTCAGCTTAGCAGGTATGGGGAAAATGTGGGTCCAGAATGAATGGTGCACTGGGGCACATAGTCCTGGAGCCCTTATAGAAGGCTCTTCCCATGAACAAACCCCGCTTGCTGTCCCGAGCGTGATGTCCTGGCCTTTTGCAGTAGTGCTCTAGAGTAGGTTTTGGCTGCATGGGGACACAAAAGCACTGGAGATGAAATCTGGCATGCTTGTAATGCCTCTGCTGTTACAGAGCACTGGGCTTCCTGGGAATGGGCTGGATCCAAGGGGTTGCTGCTAACTCTTCCTTGACCTTCAGAAGGGTGCCCCTAGCTGAGCCTTTCCTCCCAGCTTTGGCCTCTCATGAAGAGTGAGAATGATGTTGGGTTTCTGAGCAGGTCTCTGATTTGCACTTGTCATGGCTTCAAAGATCAAGTCATTAGACTAGGGTGTAGGAGAATGGGATTTGTTTTGTTCTCACTCTGTGTCTTTTGAGTAGTTTACCTCTTTTCCCCTTTAGCCAGGAGCAAAAGCACCTGATCTGAATTCTGGATTTGATGGGAATTCTGGCTGTGACTCTGGCAGGTGGGGTTGAACATAGGAATTTTCTTCCTTCACACACAGATATAATGGGGACTCCAAGGCTGGCAGTGTTTTTAGTGCAATCCTGTTCTTTTTCCAGTCTAAAGAGCAAATGGTCATAGCCGACTGAAGTTGGCTCTGGAGGTTTCCCTAGCTAGTGACCCCTTAGGTCATTCTAACCACCAGAACACCTGGAGTGGGTTCCAAGGTGATGGGTGGCAAACTTACATCATCTAGCCCATGTAGACACGTAGGCCCCACTCCTGTGGAGTGTCTTGGTGAGGTGGACACACGTGGTACTCTTGTTTTGTCTTCTAGTTCACTCTCCAGCCATCAGAGCAGCCTCTCCTCTGCGCATGCGGCCCTGTCCTCCAGCACGTCACACACAGTAAGTGTTCCCTGGGCTCCCTTATCCTTCCTGCTCAGTGAGCTCAGGGCTCAGTCTCCTGCTGGGTGGCCTTCCGCTCGTGGGTTTTAAATATCTGAGATAATCTCGAATTCCTTCTCTGTACTGCCTCCATTGAAGTACATGGTTTGAGCTTTTGATTTTCTAGGTACCATGGAAGACATCTTACTTCCTCATTAAGTTCATGCCTCTGTGAAAGAATTGTTTCTCCAGACCTGAGATGTGATGGGCAGGGCTGTCAGGTGGTGAATTTGTTCCCAAGAATTCGCGGAGCTCCCTGCCCGTTATGGGAGAACTTTCTGTCTAGCAGAGGTGATTTATTTTTGGGATATGTTATGTTGAGGTATTTGCAAACTTTTTAGAGGGAAGTGGGCTCATGGCTAACTTCATCTTGGGCTCCACTAAAAGACAACTTTAATCAAGAGCTTTTTTCCTGGATAATCCTCTTTCTTTGTGAAGGCCACTGTAGATAAAATTCTTGAAGGGAAAAGGGAGAGCTTATGTGAGAATATTCATCTGTTGCCATGTACACATGTGTATCTCTCTCTCTAGGACTCACAGCCCTGGTTCTTAACTCCAGTCAATGTGACTGCATTCTAGTTCATATGTGGTCATGGGGACTGTCCTGGTCGTGGCATTAGGTATTCTGGTCACTCTTACTTCGGGCCATCTCAGGCCATCTTCCCCAGCTCAGGCAGAGACTGGGGAGGCTGACACTGAAGAAAGAAGTCGAGAGTGTGGAGAGGCAAGAATGGAAGCAACAAGTGGGTGCCAGCTGCAAGTGCAGATGCGAGAGAGTAAGCCTAGGTGTTCAAGTGTGGCTGCTGACCGAGTGAAGTTGGAAACATGGTCTTAGTGGTAGGTGTCAGTGTAGATTGTAGTGGGCTGAGGAATGAGTGATTCTGAAATGGTCAGGAGGCAGGGTAGTGGGAGGGTGCTTAACTAACAGCTAGAGAGAGACTTGAGCATAAGGATCAGTGGAGAGAAAGGTGCTTGAAAAGAACAGAATGTCCCTCCCAGAGACAGGAGGCTTCTGGCACGGCTGAAGTGGGTGGGTCCCCAAGCAGAGAGGGTGGTTTGGGGGTACAGATGAATGGGAGAGCCAGGAAATTGGGGAAATTTGTTTCCTCTGAAGAAGAGATTAAGTCGTTTGCTGCAGAATTGGGTGAAGGAAAAGGGTTCAGTTTTCACTTCTTCCATCATGATCTGGCTAACATTGTGGCTTTCAGACTCTGCTTTTCCAAGTGAAATGTGATGCATAATTCTTTGTTGTAACACACACACAGCACCATCTTCGTAGCAGAGCACAGTGGATTCCTCTGCCCACCTACCTCTGCCGCATTTGGCCCGTGGGAGCTGTGAGCGGCCGGTCGTGAGCACTGTACAGCCTACCTCCTGTTCCCCGGGCACTGCTGTGTTGGCAGCCAGTGCTCTCGTTTGCATGGGCTCGCTGCACTCTGTCTTAGCAAGAAACTCCAAACCACACAGTGCAAACGGCTGTAGCCAGAATTACCTTGTTCAGGGACTCCTGCACTTTGTCAGTGTGACAGAACTGCCACATGGCTAACATAGTTATAAGATTCATTAATAAAAGATAGAAAAGCTTTTCAGCATGTATCTTTTTATGTTTCTCATCTGCTTAGTTCTATCCCCCTTCATCCTATTTGCTTGATCCTCTAGAGCAGTGGTTCTCAACCTTCCTAATGCCACAACCCCTTAATACAGGTTCCTCATGTTGTGGTGACCCCCAACCATAAAATTATTTTCGTTGCTACTCTATAACTGTAATTTTGCTACTGTTATGAATTGTAACGTAAGTATCTTTTTGTTTTCCTATGGTCTTAGGTGACCTCTGTGAAAGGGTCGTTTGACCCCCAAAGGGGTTGCAACCCACAGGTTGAGAACTGCTGCTCTAGAGATTTTTTTAACCAATAAAATAGAAAGTGTATACATAGTCATTTCCCCTTTGCTCTTTCTTTTTTACTTACAATATAAATGGGAGTATTCCATATGTAGTGTCCTTCAAGGTTTTCCCCCACTTAACAGTGTATCTTTGAAATGTTTCTATGTTGCAATGCAGTTCTCTGCTCTTTTTCCACAGCTTTCCTACATTAGTTATTTAATCAGCACTTTACTATTAGAACTTCAAGGCTGTTTTCAGTTTTGACACTACAGTGATAACCTCCTACATGTGTCGTGTCATTATGCAGTAATATCTAAGGGTAAATCCTAAACGTGGGATTGCTAGGCAGTGGTCCTTGCCTACAAATTGCCACATTGCCCTGCACAGTGATTAACCTATTTACGTCCCACTGGCCATGAATGAAATGTCCTATTTCCCCATTGCCTCATGAAATGGTGTTATCGAACATTTGCATTTTTCTAGTGTGTTAACAGAAAAATGATCTGTCAGTATAATTTTTGTTTTAAGATTTTTATTGGGGAATTGGGGGGATGGGAACAGTGCTGGGGAATTGGGGGGAAGGGGAACAGACAAGTTGCTGTCGTTTTGTTCTTCAGTCTAGTTGTGGAGGATGTTGCTTCACTGGCCCAAGTTGGCACCATCATTGCGCTCTTCCCGGGCGAGGCAGATCAGTCGCTGGCTTCTGGACAGCCGCTCACTGCGGGTGCTGGCCGCTCACGCTGGCTGCTGGCTCCACACGGTAGCCCATGGCAACCCACTGCCACAGGGACTGCAGCCCACGCCGTCGCCGGCGACTCACAGCAGCCCAGCTCCAGGTTGAGCTGTTGTTCAGCATCTTAGCTGTGGAGGGCAGTGTCACTGGCCCTCATATGTGGGATCCGAACCGGGGCCCTCTGGCATCCCAAGCGAGTTCTTAACCATCGCGCCACTCGGCTGGGTCCCCACCATCTTTTTTATATATCGGAAACCGTCATATTATATTTCCCTTTTTGGTGAGCTATTTATATTGCTTGTTCATTTTTCTGTTAGGTCCTTGATGTCTATCTATTTCTAGGTAGTCTATATTCAGGAGACTAGTAGGTAGCCCTTGATGATGGAAGGTGCAGATATTTTCCCTAAGCTTGTCATTTTAGAAATATTTTTTATTTTTATTTATTTTTAATTTTATCATTTAAAAAAAAAAGATTTTTATTGGGGAATCAGGGGAGGGGAACAGACAAGTTGCTGTCCTTTTGTTCTTCCGTCTAGTTGTGGAGGACGTCGCTTCTCTGGCCCATGTTGGTATTATCATTGTATTCTTCCCGGGTGAGACAGTCACTCACCGGCCATTGGACAGCAGCTGATGGCAGCTCACGAAAGCTCATGCCAGCTGCTGGCCAGCCCCACTGCAGCCTACGCCATTGCCAGCGACTTACGGCAGCCCAGCTCCAGGTCGAGCTGTTGTTCAGCATCTTAGCTGTAGAGGGCGCAGCGTCACTGGCCCTCATATGTGGGATCCAAACCAGGGCCCTACTGCTCAGAGCTGTTGTGCCAAGCCAACTCAACCAACGCGCACTCGGCTGGCCCATTTTTTATTTTTATATAGTCAGTTGTATCAGTCTCCCTTTCATGGTCTATCATAGTTAGATTTCTCTTACTTTAAGGTTATGAAGGAAATCTCAGTGTTTCTTCCTGACCTTCGTGTGCTGTGGAAGGTTTAGTGCAGCTGTGCTTTTCTGGGCTCATTGGATGGACTGAGTGAGCCATTTAAATGGGGTGGAGGCCAGTTACTCCAGCAGCTTGCTGCCCTCACGGATCTGGGAGCTGAGGGTCAGCCGGGGTAGGAGAGGCTTGCTAGATGACCCTTAAGTGCCTTTCAGCAAACCAGGAGTGAGTTCTTGAGCAAGCGGCTCTTGGTGGTCAGCCTGGACTCGTGCAGAGGAACGTAGAGCCATCTGGCTGGGCTGGGCCGGAACAGCCTTGACCCTGCTCGTGGGCTCCTTCACCCTGGTTCTGTCCCTCTGGGCTGAAGGAGCAGGAGTCCGGGGGAGCCCCAGGAGACCATGATTTTAGCTGTCTTCACCTTGCTGAACCAGTTCTGGATGTTAGGGTCCTAAGGCGTGTGCTCAGGTGGGCAGGGCAGCCTGTGGGGCTGAGACCTGCACAGAGCCGTCTGTGTGATAGGAGGCAGGGTACATGGTGGCCCCCTTTCTCCTGAGGCTCCCTTTTCTTTGGCTTCTCTTCCAGGAGTTTCTAGGCTTATTTGTTCTGCACACGTTTTGGTTTGGAGGCAGGCCTCGGTCTTCTAGAGCCTTTCCCTGCCTCTTCAGGCCTTGCTTTGCTCAACCAGGTACAGCTCTTCTACCCACCTCTCAGCCCTTACTACTGTCTGGAGCTGGGCGGCTAAGCAGGATTCCTGCAACTCAGGCTCTTCAGAGCTTTCTGCTGGATTTCACCCTTCCTTCCTAGGTGTATCTTGTCAAGTAGGCATAGGGACAGGTGATGCCCTTTAGGTAGGCCCTCGTTGCCTGAAAAGTGTTGTTACGTTCTGGAGCAGAGGCCTCTCTTGGCCACTCGTGACTTCCCCATCAGAGTAGCTAAGAAGCCCAGTGGAAGGACACCCCTAGAAGGCTCTGACTTGGACTGAGCTGCCTGTGGCCTCGTGTCAGTTGCCCTGAGATTACTTGCTTTTCTGCGAGGTGGGTTCTTACCTCATATTCAGATGGTCTGTGTTCACTTAAGATTTATTTGGAGTTTCTGTGCCTTGTTTCAGATACCAAAGCATGAGCAATAGTAAGAATTTTTAGGAGGGTTTTGGTCATAAAGTTCAATTTTAAATAGTCTTGATACTTAGCTGATGTGTCCCCATGGCCTAACCTTCCTGCAGTGTGAGCAGCCGCAGTGAGCGCTGAGCACAGAGCCCCCTCGGTCAGAGCTTTGAGGCTGCTGGCCCAAATGCCAGGCCAGATTCTCTTACACGCGTGTGCCTTGCCCCCAGATCCACATGTCCTGGCTTTTTTATTTTGCCAGCATGCCAGTGCGGAGAGCACCCCTTCCCTCCAGTCCTCATCCACCTTCTCAACGGCGACAACCTCCGCCTCGAGTGCCATGTCCTCAGGGCTCAGCTTGCCGAGCAGCAGCGTGAACACCGTGAACAGCGCCCCCAGCAGCAGTACCAGGGCCACGCCCTTGGTGACCTCAGGTGGGTATCCAGAAGCCTTTCCCACCCACCCCGAGCCCCTCAAAGGTGCAGCTTGGCTTCCCAGGGAAGTTGCCCAGAGGCGGGCAGTGCATCTTGGGCCGCCACACACATGAGCTCAGTCTCTGCAGCCCTGCCATTGCTTGCTTGCCCGCTTTGCTCCACTGACCTCTTGAGGCCTGGTCCTTTCAGCACTGATGTGGGGCTGCATGAAATTGGGTCTTTTGGGTGGGATCCCCTGGGCAGGATTCCTGGCAGCCTTTTTGCTTCTAGCTTCACAGTCTTTTCTGTCCTCATTCATCCCTGTAGCTGCAATTACATGGTGACATGGAGGGGCCAGGGAGCAGCTATCATTGTCTCCTTCTGGTCATTTTGTGTGATTGATTGCCTGTCAGTCAGACCTGGGCAGTTCGTGGGCAAAGCAAACTGGTTTGGTAGAATCTGCTAAAACCCCCCTATGACATGTCCTGTCCCTCTCCTGGCTCTGCTTGGCCTTCTTTCTGTTCTGAGGAGGCAGGTTATTCCTGTGTCCAGGTTTGCGCACTGTAGTGTGACCTTCAGGAGTGGGTGAGGGACAGTGTTTCTGTTCAGGCATAGAATCCTCTGACATTGAAACAGCCTGTAATGTGGGGCGCGTGCTTTCTGGCTCCCCACTTCTCAGCATGGCCCTCTGTATCCCTCAGCTGCTGTCCTTCCCTCTTGGCTGCAGCCCCTCCTGTGACAATGAGCTCAACACCCCCACCCCCTCTAATAGCTGAGGACTCTCACTCTTTTGTGGTGACCACTTCACTTTGATTTTGTTTTTACAGGCAAAGCACCCCCCAACCTGCCCCAGGGGGTGCCCCCCCTGCTGCACAACCAGTACCTCATGGGTCCCGGAGGACTGCTTCCTGCTTACCCGGTGAGTGCCCGTCTCCCCTGGCCTCAGGGGCTAGCACTTGGCAGGACCGGGTGAGGTGGGCTGTGGGTTGCTGCTGCCCAGACCCCTGGTATTGCTCTTCTATCCGGACTCCATCAAGGCAGGGTTGTCTTCTCACAGCAGCTCATCCAGGTCCCCTCCTGAGTGTGTCTTATTCTCCAGCCTTGTTTAGGCCCCCACACGTGCCTGGGCTTCCCAGGGGATGGTGTGTGGTCCCTAACACCCATTTTGGTCCTCACACAGATCTATGGCTATGACGAGCTCCAGATGCTGCAGTCACGGCTGCCAGTGGTGAGTGGGACGTGGCAGTGGGGTGGGTGGTGATTCAGGCTCTTTCACATGTCCTTCCTCCCTTGCCACCCTGCCTGGCCCTCAGGACACTCGGCCTAAGTACGTCCCTCCGCACCATCACTAAGGAAGTTGCTTCTATTTGGTGCTTGTGCCTGGTGCTCATCCCTGGGGAACTTAAAGACCACTAGAGCCTGGGGCCCGAGTAGGCAGTGCCCCTACTAAATGTGGGTCGCTCTTCCTTCACCTCCTACCTTTTTCAGAAAAAGAACCATATGACACGAGACGTGGGGTTGCTTGCCTGCCCCTGGAGTTTTTATAGTCTTTGAAGTGCCATTTAGTATCTTTGACTTCTAACGGTGGCCATTGGTAACACTTGTGTTGACACCATTGCTCTTCTGCCCCCAACTGAGGGAGCGGCTAGAGCTGAACTCTTTCAGGGCCCTTGTGGGTCTCGCCGGCCATCACAGTTTGTAAGAATGCTGGCTCCACATTCTCCCTGGTTGCTGCAGCCTCACACTGAGGCCAGGGCTGCCTCTTTATTATGATCCTTGCTTTTTTTTTAAAGATTTTATTGGGGAATTGTGAAAGGGAAACAGCCAAGTTGTCCTTCAGTCTTAGTTGTGGAGGGAGCAGCTAGCTCAGCTCCAAGTCCAGTCGCCATCCGGCCGCCCGTTGGCAGCTCCCAATCGCTCAGCTCAAGGTGCTGTGTTCAATCTTAGTTGCGGGTGGGCATAGCCTTCTTGTTAGGTGCACGTGCTCTCACTAGCTCAGCCGTCCTGCCTCAGCTCGGGCGCAGCTCACTGGCCCATGTAGGAATCGAACTGGCAACCCTGTTGCTCAGAGCTTGCGCTCTTAACCAACTGAGCTGCTCAGCCGGCTCCTGTGGTCCTTGCTTTGAAATTGAGGCACTAGGCTTTCCCTGCCCGCGTGAACAGGACGGCAGTGGAGAAGGGCTGTGGGAGGGCTCCCTGCTCTGAGTCTGCAGGCCACTGGGTGTCTGGGTGTTTCCTAGACTCCTGGTATTTTTCACAGCCCAAGGCATCTGTGTATCATATTGCTGGGAAGTAAAAAGTTGTTTTGTCCCCTCCACTGGATGTGGTCTTTCCTATTCTCCAGGGAAAAGGTGTTCTCCCCATTGAGGTGTCCATCCTCAGACTCCTCACCATTGGTGTTGCCCCCCTGCCCCCCACCACAGAGAACTCAGGGAGCTGCAGGTATCACCTCACTTCCTAGGCCGTGGCTGAAGCTCTCGTCTCTCAGGAGAACTGTTTTCCATCTGCGAAGTATTTCCAGAGGCAGAGGCTGGTAGCTGGGCAGTTCTTCCTCCATGTGCAAGCCAGTGGCCCATTACACTGCTGCCCACAGGGCGGCTGGACTGTCCAGCTGTTGCCCACATCCCCCGAGGACCCCCAAAGGATGTTGAAGACATGGCAGGTTTCTAGGGTGGTCAAGAGAACTTAGGGTCTGTGGGGAAACGGGAAGTGGCCCTCGTCCCCCTGATGCTCATGAAACCTCACAGCCATCTGGCCCCGGAGCCCCAGAGCATCACAGATGGAATGCAAGAGGTGGTCCTGAGTGAGTCTGCATGTGGGTCCTGGTAAGACCCCCCAGGAGTGGCTCATTGGGACCCCAGCTCTGGGAGTCATCTGCCTCATATTCCGTTTATCGTTTTGTGCCTTAGAAGAAATTGCTTCTGGGTCCACCATCTGAAATACAGTGCTTTCATTTTCCCTTTGGTTATTTCCTAGCAACTTTGGCACTTTCGTGCCTAGTTCCCACCTTTGGATTTTCTTTTCTTCTGTGACAGGCTGTTGTCCTGTATGCCCCCCTGGACTTTCTCTAGGCCTGTCCCTAGTTGTGTTCCTACTAGCTCTGTGTTTTTCTAGCCCTGCCGCCTCCTGGGGTTCTGGGCTGAGGATGCTGAGGGTTTCCTGGAGGTTACCTGGAGATGAGGCTGAAGGAGAGTGTGTATGTGCCATTCCCAGCCAGGATGGCTCCTTTCTGGTTGTGACCAAGTAACTGTTGCCCACGAGGAAAGCAGGGGGGCTCTCCCTTGGCTCAGAGGCCAGGGTGCAGGATGTTTGGGACTGCAAAGCCCTGGATGTAAGGGTCAGAGCAGGCCTCCCCTTTCCCATAGAACTCCACTGTGTTTTGCCCTCTTGGTGTCCACACTTCCCCTGGTTCCTGTGTGGTATCAGTGTTGCATGGCAGAGTGGGTGGTGAGAGGCAAGTTCAGCACCTCACCTGGGGTCCTGCTTATACTTGTGCCTGCCTGGCATTGCTGCCCTGACCCATTAAACCCTTTAGGCACCTCCTCTCCTGTTGACTCTTTCAGGTTTCTACAGTCCAGTCAACATTCCTAGCTGCTTTTTAGAATCTCTCCCACAGAAAAAGCCTGTAGAGTTGGTTGAGCCTGTGGCATTCACCAGCATCCATCTTCAGTGCGAAGTGGATGTGTGAGGTTGGGCCCCCCAATGGCTCTGCTCCTGGGAGATTGAGGAATTGGCCAGTGTGTCTGCATGCTGTGTGCTGTGGGGCGGCCACATTGCACAACTCCAATGGGCACCATTTACTTTACGTTTTCTATGAATGCTGCCCTCTGGAGCTGTGCATGTGATGTCCCTGCAGTCTAGCATTTCCCGGGAGTGTGGCGTCACTTGGAGCGCCTGTGCTGCCTGCTGGGCCTGCTCTCCTGGGAGTGGGGGGAGGCTGCTCTGCTTATTGAGCCTCCCGGGTCTCTCGTAGGATTACTACGGAATTCCCTTTGCTACGCCCACAGCCCTTGCCAGCCGAGATGGGAGCCTCGCTAACAACCCATATTCAGGTTAGTCTGCTCAGGGCACAGGGAGGGGGGTGGGACAGCGGATTGGCCTAGAGCTAATGCCCGGCACCTGAAAACAGGCAGAGGGCTGCAAGAGGCCAGCTAACTTTCTGTGGTTGAGCTGGCAGCCAGACCTACTCCTGTTCGCAGGACCCAGCCTGGCTCTTTTCTTGGTTGGATAAGGGGCAGTGATTAGAGTCAATGCTCCTCTTCTCGTAGGTGATGTCACAAAGTTTGGCCGAGGTGACTCTGCATCCCCTGCGCCCCCCACCACACTGGCTCAGGCACAGCAGAGCCAGTCCCAGGCCCACCATACAGCCCAGCAGCCCTTTCTGAATCCTGCACTGCCACCTGGCTACAGCTACACTGGCCTCCCCTACTACACAGGCGTGCCCAGTGCCTTCCAGTACGGGCCCACCATGTTTGTGAGTGTTTGTGGGGGTTATTCCAGCTCTGGGGAGCAGAAGCAGGGAGGGAGGGACATGAGTCCACTTAAGAGTCTCAGTTGGGGTTGGCCGAGTGGCACGTTGGTTAAGAGTTGGCTTGGGACGCCAGCTCTGAGCAGCAGGGCCCCGGTTCAGATCCCACATATGAGGGCCCCAATTCCCCAACAAAATCTTTAAAAAAAAAAAAAAAGAGTCTCAGTTGGCTTTCAGGAATGTTTTAAGCTGGGGGCAAGGCTACTTGCCTGTTTTTAGATCCCACGTGTTATACTAATGGACACAGGTCCCTTGTGATTGTACCACCTGCTGCCTGAAGCTGAGCAGGGTTGGGGAGTGGGTTGTCACCTGACCCGCCCTGCCTGTGCTGTTCCTCCACTGATGCCTCTTTCTTGCCCCACCAGGTCCCTCCGGCCTCAGCCAAGCAGCATGGTGTGAATCTCAGCACCCCCCCCACCCCTTTCCAGCAGGCCAGTGGGTATGGCCAGCACAGTTACAGCACAGGTGAGGGGTGCTCCCAGCACGGAGAGACATGGGTAGGACAGGCTTGCCTAGCTCACACATGCCTCTTGTACCCTGCCATGCTAGGTTATGATGACCTGACCCAGGGGACAGCAGCGGGAGACTACAGCAAGGGTGGCTATGGTGGATCATCGCAGGCACAAAACAAGTCTGCAGGTTCTGGGCCTGGCAAAGGTAGCGTCTCCCCCTCCTTTCCAGGACCGAGGCCCAGAGTAGTTGTCTCCTCCCTGACACCTTCTCAGGCAAGGCTACCCCAGAGTGCCCTGGATGTGGGGGAGGCTCAAGCTGGCCAGCTGTTGTGGGAATAACTGCTTTTCCTTCTAGGCGCGTCTGTGTCTTCAAGCACCACTGGCCTACCTGATATGACTGGTTCTGTCTATAAGACTCAGGTGAGGGAGGAACAAGGGGGTGTGTAGGTTGGTGGGAGGTGCACCCCAAGCTGGCCCTCACTGTTTTTTTCTTGGTCCTGTAGACTTTTGACAAGCAGGGATTTCATGCAGGGACTCCTCCCCCGTTCAGCCTGCCCTCGGCCTTGGGCTCCACCGGGCCCTTGGCCCCTGGAGCAGCCCCTGGTTATGCGCCGCCACCGTTCTTGCACATCCTGCCCGCCCACCAGCAGCCGCCTCACTCACAGCTGTTACACCACCACCTTCCACAGGATGCCCAGGTGAGCCCAGGGATGGAGGCATCGCCCTGCCCTGGGTTGGGGCTTCTGCTCCAGCCTGACAGCCTTCTTCTCCTCCTCCTCAGAGTGGCTCGGGTCAGCGTAGCCAGCCCAGCTCCCTGCAGCCCAAGTCGCAAGCCTCCAAACCTGCCTACGGCAACTCTCCATACTGGACAAGCTGAACCCTGAAGAGGGGTGGGATGGGTTGGGGCTTACCCTGGGCAGAACACGTGGAGCCCCATTCTGGGAGCCCGGTGCCCTTTCCTAGAATTCCTGAGACGTGTAACTGTGTCAGCGGAGCCTCTGTGGGGAGCCTGCCTCCCAGTCTCGCCATTGTATGTAATGTATTTATGTATGTATTTGTAAATGTGACAGAAGTCTTTGGGGAGGGTAGGGGGGGTGCTGCAGCTGCTACTCTTAGGTCTGTTCTCCCCACTCAAGCCCCTTCTCGCTGTAGCAAAATAAGCCCCTTCCCCCTTCTGCCTTCAGGCCTTCCACCCCTCAGCCAGCAGGCTGCTAGGGGCAGTGTCTGGAAGGGCTACTTTAAAGCAGTTGGGTAATGGGGCCAGGTACCAATGAAGAATCACAACTTATCTTGTGCCTGTGTAAACCATTATTTTTCTTCCCTGTGTAATTACTTTATCCTTCTGTTTTTGCGAAACTGGTCCTTATGTCATTTGTCATGTTCTTTTCCTGCCAAATCTTAATCTGGGGATAGCAGAGATATCCCCTGTGCTCAACAAGTGTCACCTGTTTGTCTTCATAGAGCAGGGGCATCTGCTTCTGGTCTGGTCTGGTCCCCACAGACTTATCTTCCTCTGGCTGACAAATTTAATAATATTCTAATTTTGTGCTCAGAGATGTCTGGCTAGTCAGCTCCCTTTTAAAAAAATCAAAGATATGCTCAGTGAGAGCACGTCTCCATGCACAGGCTCCTCTATTCCAGTTGTCCTGAACCAGGTGGGCGACTGCTTCAGGGGTTTTCTCTCTTGCCCAAACTCCACCTAATAAACTTCTGAGAGCATGCACGGTCTCTGTGTGGTCTGACTAAGGCGTAGCTCAGGGCAGAGGCCGTCTTCATTCCGGTTCCAGGGACTCTTGGACTTCACAGGGCTGAAGTAGAGCTCATGTGGTCCGTTTTTCTGACAACAGGTGAGAGCTTAAATCGGTATTCTTCTTTGCTGGGTTCTTCTCTTGCCTTGGCCCCACACAGCATCCATGGAATGAAAAGTTAAGTGATACAGCTGGAAAGACAGCAAACCCTCCTGACGGGGCACAATATTCTTGCAGCTCCGAAATAGACTTACAGGATAGGCAGTCTCTTACGGGGCCTGGTCAGCAGGAATACCAGGGCAGGGTAATTTCTTTTCCAAAGGAGCAAAGGTAAGAACTGAGAACACAGTTCTAGTCTTGGGAGAGTTTGAACAGCTAAGGCTTTCCTCTTCATCAACCAAACACAATTAATGGGCAGTCAAGGGCTGTGGTGGAACAGATGACTACTAAGTCAGCGTGGTATCACGTAGGTAAGTGGGTCCTGGGCTAAATATCTGCTCCAGAAAGGTCCATGCACCCGCTCACCTGCGACCAGGATTCTGACTTCCCTGTCAGCCAGTCCAGCGCCTCCTGCTTCTAGGCCACCAGTCAGGGAGATGCCGGAGACATAACTATTCCTGTGTGTGGCAGGAGGCAGGTGTCCCCACTTGTCTGTGGTACAACTAGGCTCCAACCTGGCAGGCACGCAGCTCAGGCCTAGGTGTTACCTCATTTCAATCCTAAGTAACCCCTTCAGACGAGGCTAAATAAGCAAACAAAATGAGTGTTGCTTTAAGTATTGGTCAAGTAGGTATGCCAGAGCCAGCCCAGAGTCGTACTTTTTTTTTTGCTTTCACTTCTAAAATTAATGGTCATTTCATCAGATGGGACACGTGCTGCTGTTAACCCACAGCCTGGGATCCTGACCAGAAAAAAACGTAAGTGTTTGCAACCTGAAACTAAATGGGAACTTTTATTAAAGTAAACTAAGTGATCTGCCTGATCCCTGCTTTTAGCAGGAAGTTTGGAAGATAAGCGACAATGAAAACCAGTGGCCTCCTAAGGAGGGCAGTGGAGCACTCCTCCATCCCTCCCACTGACCTACTTGTACTGGCAGATTGTGCCCTATTTCAGAATTAAGGTTAACAAATGTGGCTATGTCTTTAATAACCTTTCTTGAAAGATAATAAGGATTGGGGATGTTTATTATGCAAGGTGAGCTAAGGCAGAATGCCATAAAAGGCAGGTCAGCAAGATTTGTTTTTTGTTTGTTTTAATTTTTCAGTTGAGTCCTGGGCATAACCTGCAAGGGAACAGTGGAAATATTCAGACCACCTTTTAGTTTTAACATGAGAAAAGAAAGAAGAGGGTCATCCCATGGGGAAGTAGCAATACAGGTATATTTTATTTCACATTTTATTAGTAGACAGATGGGCAGAAAAAGACAAAATAAACCACTAAAGGAGAGGTTCAACACAAACGCATCAGATAATCTTTTCTCATAAGTTAAACTGAAGAAAAACATCTACAATTTCAGCTAGGAAAACTATTAAAGTCAGGTGTGTCCTGCTGGTTTCAGAATAGTTGAAAATTGCATCTGAATCTTTTTGTAAATGTAAACCTTTTTATCAGGATGGGAGGGGTGGAGAGTTAATTTTCAGTGGAGAACTACACATTTTCCCCTTCAATTTCATATATATATGTCCCCCAAAATAAGGAAACCAGCAAATAAAGAAGCAAATAATTACCAAGAGGAAAGAAGGGACTACAAAAAAAGGTCTGGCTAATAGAAAAGAACTCTGGAATGATATGAAATAGAGGGGGGAAGACTTTGAGAAAAACAACGGAATCATGATATTATACTTTCTCCACCCAGCCTCAAAAAACACAGGCCTGAAAAGCACCCAGAGAGGCCTCCTAGAATCAAAAGGAATCTAAAAATGCAGGGTTTTGAGTTCATGTTACACCAAATGATCAGCACAACTGTAGTCACAAGGTTCTGGCTTGAGCCTGAGATCTCCACTCCTAATAAGAAAAGTGTTACATGCTCAAGTTTTCTTTTGCCACAGGATGTGTTATTCTCAGGACAGAGCTCTGGAACCAGCATCTGGGTTTTACAAGTTAGTGTGAGCTATCAGAATGTCTACCTGTTGGCAAATCAACACACCCCAGTCTTTTCTGGAACTGATTGTACTCTTTTATCAGAGGCAAACCCAGCCCTCAATAGTAATACCCCAAAGGGCTGAGAGGTACAACCACCTGGCTCTCTGGCTCCCTGAGTCAATGTGCAACGGAGGCCAACAGGGCCTAATGGGACAGGGCTGAGCAGCATAGCACCTCCCACAATGCCAAGGTGCCTGGCCTGCCCTGGGAGAGAAATGCTTTAGCAGTAAGGGAAAAGAAAAGCTTAATTTTAGGGCTCCAAAAGAGTAAGACCAAGCTACTGGCTGTAAACGTGTGTGGTGGTGGTGGGGTTTTGGGGGCATTATGAGAGACTTTGGGCTCCAGAATATTTGCAGGTTATTTGGAAGCTATATACTTAAGAAGCGTGGGGAGTAAAAAGCTAGTTTCAACATCCTTCTGTGAAGAGTTTGCAGTCAGAGTGTTTGGTCACAAAGGGCTGTTCTCTGAATCTGACTAGAGTTACTAGATTCAAGGGTCCAAATGACCCTGACCCCATGTGGTTTGGACAGATTCTGGGACCAGGCTCAACACTGTCCCATATGAACCTTAGCATATTAAATGTTCTCACTAATACTAGACCAAACTTGAGAGGCCAGAGAGGCTTGCTGGGAATTAGTCAGCAAACATTTGTAGAGTCTGAAGAGTGAATGAAAACCCTGAGATCAGAAAGGAAGGAGGAGCTAAGGAAGTAAGCATCACCTACTCTGTCCTAGGATCCATCCTACCCTGTCCCTCATCAACTCTTGTTTTTTCTGAGCTAAGATCTGAAGAAAAGGAGTTGACACTAGTGCACAGGGATCGAAGTAGGATTATAGTCTTTGCTGTATTTTCTTTCCAAAACCTGTGATTTTACATTATAACGATTTTCCCCACTGAAAGAACACTGCCCTCCTATGAACTGGCCCACTCCCATAAGAAAGTCACCGCCAAGTTCTGAAGTCCCTGGTTGGTGAAGGTTGATGGATCTCAGTATTGACTGAAGTAACACATGATCAAGACCCGGGAAATCAAAGCTGCGGCAATTGCTTGGCAGGAAGATCTAGTGTCACCAGACAATGCCTGCAGCCAGCTCCCTCAGCCCAGGGCAGGCTCCGTGCACAGCTTCTGCTTGTAATCCGCAGCCAGAGTCCATTGAAAGGAGAGAAAAGTCCAGGTCACATCCACTGAGGAAAGGTAACCGGTCACTCATGTCTCACATATATCCACAGTTATCACTAGCTCAATGAAAACCAAAATCTTAACACATGCACCTAGTATTAATACTGAGTAATCAAGACTGTCTGCTTAAAAAAAAAATCCTCATGGTAAAGTTGTATCTTTTAGGGAAAGGCCTTGTTAAATACATAAAACATGTTTTCATGTTTTCTCTCCCAACAGTGGTCACCAGTAGTTTTGACTTTTCCCCCCAGCAGCATCGACCAGAGTTGGCATAGTGATTTTTCACTGTGTTGCCGTCACTAAGATTCCACGCCACTAATCCCCACTCTCCCCTGACTCCCTGGGGAGGGAGGGAGACCAACTCTGCCTTTAAAATAAATAGCAATCAAGTGCTCAGTTCTATGTAAAGTATGAATATTTATTTCAGGCTTTAGATCCCAATCGATTTCAAAAAACAAAATCTGATTTCTCTCCTCAGAGTACTGAGGCCTCTGTGTTAGGATGATTTCCTGAAGGCTGAAGGGGCTCTGCCCTTAGGAACACATTTCATCAGGCTTAGCACAAAGTCCCTGACGCCCACTGTATCCCAGACTTAAGACAGGAAAGAAACGAAATTTACCACCATGGGGCTGAACAAATGCACACACACTAATGTAAATGGAGCAGCTAAACCTTGGCAAAATATTTTTTTAAAGTTTGTTTTGTGGGATTTTGTGTTTTTTTTTTCTTCCATTTTCTTTTGCTACCCAGCATATGCAGCGCTTATGAACTCCCAATGGGTTCTCAGCTTTAAACACATTAAACGTCTTGTGAATGACTAATTCTTCAAGAATCTAAAAACAGACCAAACGTGTTTTGCTGTGAACACTTTGTAGACACAAAGTGAGGCAGGGGTTTGGATTGAAAGGAAAAAAAAAATCAATACAGTGATGAAAGGGTAAAGAATGCAAGAATTCGGACATACTGTGGAGGATTACCTTCTCTCCATTAAGAGGTCCATAAAAAGGAGCGAACTGAGATCCATAGGGGAGTCAGCAGGAGCTGTGTTTGTTTCCCCACCCCCATGATAGGTTGTTGCTGAGGGGCCACTGCCAGGTCCCCACTTGCTCCCCTCCCTTTGGCCTGAGACGGCAGGGCAGTACAGGGGCATCCATGGAGCACGTCACGACTCCTCATTCCCAGAATCATCATCATCATAACAGTCGGCATCTTCTTCCTCCTCATCTTCATCATCAATGTCATCGTCGTACAAGTCGTCATAAAGCAAATCTGAGCTGTTGTCATTGGAAGGCACTTTAGTTTTGATGCAGTATTCCGCCAGCGTCGTGGGGACTTTCACTCCATCCTTTTCTGCTTCGGCTTTAGTGGCTGAAACCTGTTTCCTGCAGGGAGGATATAGATTAGTAAGTCTTGGATTTATAATTGGCCTTTCTAAATAATCAAGATGACTCAGGTTTCTGAACTTTAGTACCTGCCTGAAAGCACCTGACAGCCTCTGCTACACCACTCTCAGCCTATCAAGTACCGTTCTGAAGGACACTTAATAATGACCTCAGATTTTTTTTTCACCTAGTTGTTTTTTTAAGACCTGATGCCTCTCAATTTCCTGAATCAGAATATACATTCAAGCAATGTAAAACTACTTAAAATTTTCTTGACATGCCATGCTATCGTACACCTGTTTTTGGCAAACATGTTTCTCTCCCTGAAGAGGCTTTTTCCTTCCCTTTTTTACCTGAAAAATTCTTATTTGTGAGGCATTATCTCTCCTAGGAACCCCATAACATTATACATTCCTTCTACTGTATCTTCTTTAAGCCTCTCTTATTGTGCTCATTATATCACATGGTCAGTCATCTGTTTGTTTACAAATGTGCTCCCCTGGGAGAAAGACTGTATGTGCTCCTTAATGACCTAGCACAGTACCTGACACAAAGCTGGTGAATAAATGTTCAAAGAAAGAATGACAAAGAAACCCTTAAATTAAGAAATATGAAGAATACAAATATCTTGGGAGTATTCATGCATTCTTCACTTATTAAATCCTACCTTTCCTTGAACATGAGGCTCCCATCCTGTTTCATGAAGCACTCCCATTTTTCAATCCTCAATCCGCTCCCGCTCCTCTAAATTTCTATAGGTCCTTACTATTTATACTAATTATCTTCAGTCTTTGGTATACACCAGTAACCTTGGTGGCTGATACAAAACACTGATGTCTAGATTCTATCCTCATAATCCCACGGAATGGCTGTGGATTTGGGGATGGGGGGTTGCTCTAAAGATGTTTGCAGTGGGCAGAAAACTTTGACTACTGCTGATCTATATTATTCAGCTATCAAATGACATGCATTTAAATCTCTGCATGGTTTTGGGGTTTTTTAAGATATCACATGGTATGCTTTTTGTCACTCAAACCTGAACTTAAATATCACCTTCGAGGAGGCCTGTTCTGACAACCCAATTTAAAGCAGCCATCTCCTTCGCATTATCCCACTTATCACTATCTAGTATTTTTTAATTTTGATGATGATCCTCATTTGTATCATGCTTACTAGATTTATAGAGAGGGACACTATTAGTATAAATTCTAGTGCTTACTAAACTCCTATGCACATAATGTGCTGGAACTGTCCTTGGGACTGTCTTTTAAGGGTATAAACATACAACTGTTAAGAACTGAATTTATAACAATCCAAGTACCAATTCTTGGGTGACTATTTTGAAAACCTTATGTATGTCCTACTCAGGATATAACCGAGAACCTAACGCCGTCTACTTTTTTTCCTTTTACACAGATGGGAAAACTAAAGACCCAAAAAGTTAACTGATAAAAAAAAAGGTCACAATGAAGAAGTGTGGCAGAGCTAGGAGTAGATTTCAAGTCTCCTGATTCTTACTCTAGGGTTCTGTTAGACCGTATACTGACGCTGCTGATAATGAAGACACCCAGAAGATACTTGCTGCTATGGTCACAAAGGCCAGTAAATAACAGGGCTTCGTTAATAAAAATTTTGAAACAAAAATACATGGAATGTCTGGAATACATTGGGTGCTTACTACACTTACTGGGCATATGGAAATCCACAATCATCCCTAAAATGACTAGGAGGGAGTTTGCAAACCTGACTGGCTCAGAACCTCGAAGTTCTGGCCGAGGAAATCCGAGCTGTGGCAGTGCTACCTCGTAGTGTGTGTGTGTGCTTGCTCAAAAGCCAGACTCATTGGGCTCAGGCACAAATCTCCTCCCAGACAATCAATCTAATTGAGAGAAATGGAAGTTCAATTTAACCCCCTGCCCTGGTTCTAGGACATTACTTTGGTTCTAAGTATAAAGACTTGAAAGCACCTTACCTAATGATTTCAGCATATTCTTTGTCTTTTCCTTTACTGTCCCTCCATTTCCTGAACATAACTGAAGCATCCACATTGGCTGGGGAGAAGGTGTTGGGCTCATTAAGCAATGAGATTACACTTAACAGGATAGTCCTAGAAACAGGAAAAAACGGTCAGCTGTAAATACTCATAGTCACAGGATTCAAAAGTATTCTTTTAAGACTACAATATTTGAGACCTTAGGGAAATGGAAATTGAGTATCATAAAATTTTGTTTTCAGTACTCAGTTAACTGGGAGACAAAAGCAGAGGCAATAGTAAGTCTAGCATAGGATCTTAACAGGGCATAAAACTAGAAGGCACTGCCTTAACTGGCTACATGTTCCAATCTGCAAAAAGTGGAGGTCTGGAAGCTTTTCAAATTAACACTTTAACAATTAAAAGTGCAATAGGAAGAAGAAAAGCAATTTTATCTAGCTTCAAGACAATCTTTTCGTGGAAGAGGGTAAAAATGATACTACTCCATACATCCAATTCTAATCGTGGCTGCTTAGAAGATCTAAAAACCAGTATTACATATAAATGTATTTCTATTCCATACTTTTAAGGGAAGAAAGACAGAGTTAAGCAGAAAAATAGAGGAGATACAAAAAAAGTCTGAATAACAAATCTTTATTCAAAAATTTTACTAAGTACCTACTATGTGCCAGAGGCACGAAGTGAGATGTTGGGTGTACAACAGTGAACAAGCTAGATGTCATCCCTGCTCTCCCAGGGCTTATAAGTCTCGTGGGAGTTATTAACAGGCAATTTTCATCCACAGATAAAAACTAGACACCTTAATCACGGGGAATAAAGTTTGTTAGATAAAATAAGTAGAAGAGCACAATAGGCTCCCAAAATATTCCAGATTATTCCCAGGCTTTTTTTCCCTAAAAGCTGTGTGCATGTACGTAAAGAGAATAATGGGAGGAAAAATTAAATTTCTCTACCTTTTCTCATTGGTGCGAGGTTATAGATTGTGTTGTTGCAAAATAGCCTTTTGCTCCTGGCCCCAAGCAAAAAATAAAGGGAGGGAACCAGGCAATTAGATGTTTGATTTGATGAAACCTTTTCCTAAAAAGGGTAAAGAGTTTCTGTTATGTGATTATACAATATTATGACAAAGGTACTTTTAAAGAAAACTTCCCCATCCAGTTAAAATCCATCTCTCTCTCGCTCTCTCTCTCCCTCTCGCTCTCCCTCTCTCCTCTCTCTCTCTCTCTCACACACACACACACACACACACACACCTTTCTATTACGTTAAGAATAATTCCTTGCCCCTCCTGCCAAGATCCTTCTGGATGTCTCCAAAAATTACATTAAAATAATTCAAAGAAAGTCATCCCTGCCAATAATGGGAAATGGACATAACACCCCAAAAGCAAAAGAAAAATGTAGGTAGAAAATTCCATAAGGGTTGCTTCAGAAGAAAACATAAAACCTGTTAGAAAGATAAGCAGGATAAGGACAAAGTGTGGTATAAAGAGAAAAAAAACCTAATGGTTTAGATCAGCACTGTATACTTCCAACCTCCTGTGATGATGGAAATGTATAATCTGTGATTTCCATATGGTAACCACTAGCCACATGTGGCCATTGAGCGCTTTGAAAGGTAGCCTGTGCAACTGAGGAACTGAATTTTTAATAATAAGTTTAAATAGTCACATGTCTAGATGAATCATATTAATTGAATCAGGAAATTTTCCCGACGAGTCAGTTTCACTAAGTTGATTTTCTTATGTCGTGTATATTATTAAAATACTATATTGGGAAATACAATTTTCAAAAAGTGAATCATCCATCCACTTCTCCCAAAACAAGAACGTACTTCTACCATGTACTCATAAACTGAAATCCATGATGCTTTCAGAAGCAACAGGTTCTATAGTGGACTGTGATAACAGTTAACCCAGCAGGCTTTAATTCCTCCATTTGGAATGCAGAATCTTTTTTTGTATGGGGAACCCATTCCATTGGTCAGGTGGGTTTAAATCTCCTTCCCTTACTATCATGCCACACCTTCAAACAAACCACCTATCTATATCCACAGCAGTAGATACCGTACCACCAAGTGCTGGCCAAAGGAGTCTATCCATCTTGTCAAGATGGATTGGGGGCTTTGCATGCAACCCATGCTGGGGCAATCAGAACCCGGTGGGAAATACGATGGTTCTAAACTAACAGCAGAAAAGCAATTTTTATTCTTGATTGGACTGATAACTGAGAATATGGAAAGTGTAAAGCTGGTGGCCATCTTTGTCACCAAGTGGTGAGAGCCTGCCTTATAACAAAGCCAATATATAGAGCAAAACAGAATTGCTATTTTTTTCCTCAAAGATTAGAATTCAAAAGAATATAATTCAAAAGCAACATCCTATTCAAAACTTCCCAACCAGTATGTTGTGGATGGGTTACAGGTAAATTATGCCTGTATTGTTCACTCAGGCAGTTGGGTGGGTCAAACCAGGAACAACTTGAGTCTCTGGAACATCAACTTTTGGCCAAAGGATCATCTTCAGTTTACTACACTGTGATCTACAAATACTATCATTCCATTTTTTTCTATGTTCCATGACTGGAAAAGGTTTGGAGAAAATGTCATATGTAGTTTAAATTGCCTAACCCTTGTACCAAAATAATTTAACACAGGCATTACACTTGTAGCATAGTAAACAACTCTGCTAGGTTAAGTATTCTAATTTTTATAGAATGGAAAAGCCAAACTGTTAAGACAATGCTGGCAGAATGTATAAAACATGCTTTCCTTTGTTGCCATCTTTTGCTATTGTTTGTTTCAGTGTTTAAAAATCTATTCATTTTTAAAAATTTTTCAGAAGAAAAAAAAAACCAGAAGGTACAGAGGATTAACAATATGTGAAAAGAAGGGAAAGAATGACCAAATAATGCAACTATCAAATTAATATTCCCCAATGACTAGATTACTCAAGCCCACTGAAGGGACTGGTTTCCTGCAGATCATGAACAAAGGGGAAAGGATCAGGAAAACAACAGACACTCTTTCTTAGTCTTATTCTAGCCATATGAAGTTCACAGTTCCAAGCTCTGGGTTTAGCAACAACATTGAGTTGTGTTTGTCTATTTAGACAATATTGTGGCACTTGGGCATAAACTTTCTGGATTAGAATAGATTCTGAGGGTCCGTCCCCAGACTCTGTGCTCATATAAAGAAAAACTCTGGGGCTGGCCGAGTGGCACATTGGTTAAGAACTGGCTTGGGATGCCAGAGGGCCCCGGTTTGGATCCCACATATGAGGGCCAGTGACACTGCCCTCTACAGCTAAGATGCTGAACAACAGCTCGACCTGGAGCTGGGCTGCCGTGGGTCGCCGGCGACGGCATAGGCTGCAGTCCCCTGCTGCAGTGGGTTGCCATGGGCTACCGTGTGTAGCCAGCAGCCAGCATGAGCGGCCATCCAGAAGCCGGCGACTGATCTGCCTCACCCAGGAAGAGCGCAATGATGGTGCCAGCTTGGGCCAGTGAAGCGACATCCTCCACAAATAGACTGAAGAACAAAAGGAGAGCAACTTGTCTTTTCCCCTTCCCCCAATTCCCCAATAAAATCTTAAAAAAAAAAAGAAAAACTCCGTTGCCCTTCTCTAGGTATAGAACAGGTTTGGTTGTCCAAATCCAGTAGTGTTAACGTGTGAAAATAAAGAACAGACCTAAATCAGTAAGAATTTGGGATACAAATGAGGGACAGAGAGTTTTTAAGTGTTTTCAACTTATTGCACAATTCCCATGATCACCACCATTCTCAGAGTTACAGGTACTCCTAGAAATAAATGTGCTCCCTTCACCTCCACTTTAAGCTTGGGCAAGGGGCTATGGGTATGAGTTTTTAGGACAGAGGATCTGGGCCAAAATACAAAAATGCTCAGAGGAGAAAGGAAGTACAGACAAAAGGATAGGCAAAAGCACTCCACATAGTCTTCAGGTTCATGTTTCAGATCATTTTGCCTGCTTCAGTGTCTTTGTCAGAGATGGTTTAGCTATCTTCTTTTGAATAAAAAGTAAGTTTGTAAACAATAAAAACACCCAAAGAAAATGAAGACCAACTAATTTCCCTCTCTCTCTGTCTCTCTCTCTCTCTCTCTCTCACTAGCAAACTAGCAAGTTGTGAAGTTCTACAGAGCTAGGACATGTTTAAAAAAAACCAACAAAACTAAAAAAACATTTAACAGAGATAGGAAATCAGAATTATGCATCTATGACCCAATGGGTAATATTGTATTTGCCCCTTTTCAACATATAGACAGTAGTCAATGAGATGGGTCTGCCCTTTCTCTGTTACCCTCTATGTCACCACAAGTACAACTTTAGCAGGGAGGGCAGAAAACTGGCCCTGTCACACAAGCATAAGACCTGGCTTGCGGATCTGCCTAGAAACTAAGCAGGAAAAGTATGGAATTTTGCAGAATCAAAGATTGGCATTTTTCCTCCAGTGTATACACATACCCTCCAAGCAGCATGTGAGCTAGAAAGGGTTCATTTTTAAAAACCTAAATTTACTTGACTCTTAAAACATACATATTCTCACACACAGATGGAGATGCAGAAAGAGACAGAGATACTGACTGATTTGAGATTCTTAGGTTTTACAGGCCTCGCATAATTTGATGGAAAGTGATATATGGAGAAGTGAAGCCCAGCGCCTAATCCTTCTAGTTGACCTGGGTCCTTTAATCTCTCGTTTTCATTATTTCAAAAGATGGGCCAGTGACACCAGAAGATGTCCTAGTTGAAACTCAGTCCTCATTACGATTTCAAGATGGGAGAAGAATTTAAAGACGATGTGTGGCAAAGAAGTCTCCTGTGACTGAGAAAATATGGTAGCTGAATGGGTCACATATTACACATAGTTTTTCTTTATGCTGGTAAAGCAACTAACAAATATAACAGTTCCTGCTGTGCAGTCCTGGAGCTGCTGCAGATTGGCATGTACCTGAGAACACATGGTAGGAATGAAGGTCTCAGATTAAAATATCCAAAAACACAAAACCAGAACATATTATTTAAAAAGGAAAATTTAAAAATACACAAAGTATGTATATGCACAGAATAAAAATGGCAAATCAAGGGCAGTGGGAT